GACGTCACACAACTCACGCTCAGCATCTCTAGATCGAAACTCAAGAATTCCAGGAACACCAAGACGCTGGCAAAGGGTTCCTTCCAATTGATGTCAAAGCGCCGCATCACTGAAAGCATCTGGACAGTGACCAGGAGCAGTTGAAGGCTGCACGTCATCATCAGGGAGCCGGAACCCGACTGTCGTTGAGTCTCCTTCTTGAGCCCGATGTACAAACAGGTCACACCAATAGGGATGATGAAACAAACAGTGATGAAAAATGCATAGTCACCACCGCCACACGCTTCACAAGTGCCATTCCCAGAATCTCGCAGCCCGTCCTGGCAATCGTTGCAAGCAATGCTCTGGTTGTCACGGCCTGCAGCACAAGCACCGGCAGGACCACCAGGACAATAGTCTTCGTTGAGGCAATGAAAGACGTCATTGGGCGCATGGGACTTTGAGAAGTATCCTCGTTTGAGGCTGAGGCGATTCATGCCAGGGCAGTCGAGGCCATCACCACACTGCTGGCAACGTCCTTGCCACAAAAACCATCCCTCCTTGCAAAAGCATTTAGATTTTGCAGTTGCTCCCTGCAACTCGATGATTTTACCAGCAACAAATTCGTTGGTTGTCCAGAGTCCTGCTTCATCACCCATATCTGCACCACACTGGTAGCAAAAGCTCATGCCAGTGTCATTGGCGTACAGCCCCAGGCTGCACTTGTCACACTCTCGTGATCCCGAATTCGCTGCCATCGTGCCAATTTCACACAATTTGCATTCTGAAGCTCCGAAAGCGTTTTGGAAGGAACCGGGTGCACAAGGAGAGCACACCCGGGTATTCTCAAACTTCACCGAAACCCTTCCTGGGCTGCACATCTTGCAATCCACTGCTTCAGACTTTGATGTCACAAAGTTGTCCTGCAAATCCACCAGGCCTTTCCCAACGGCACAGGTGGTCCTGTCGGGCACCCAGACCTCCCAGGTTTCTTTGTTGGATTTCACCCACTCACAAGCTGTCTGCCATGAATCCTTGGTATCTGCACTTACCAACTGAATGAGCAACGCCTCAATGTCCTTGGAGCTGAAAATGAGGTTCTCGGCCAAACCAAGAGCTCGACTGGCCGCCACTTCCAAACCTGCCGCAACCAACTTGAACAGAATGTTTCTCGCATTCATGCTCCGATAGATGCCCTGAAGAATCTCTGCATCATGGCGCTCAGGGAACTGGACTGCAAGTTGCTGGTAGGCCACAAAGTTGGAATCGGGAGACCAGGCATAGAGTAGGGATTGAAGCTCGGTGTTGATGGCCACATAGTTATCGAAGGAAGAAGCCACTGCCATTCCAACCTTCATGTTGAAAAAGTTGGCTTTCTGTGTGATATCTGCGAAACCCCAGCCTTTACTTCCACTCACGATTGATATGCAATTTGCTGGATCTGTACGGCAAGCAGGAGCCAGCCACCACTTTTCATCCAACCAGCATTTGTATCCTGTCTGCCCATTTCTGTCTTCAACGCCATCAACGTCACCTGTGGCCTCTAGGTAAAATCGAGCAGCATCCGGGTATCCTTCATCCGTAATGTTGCAAGGCCGCAACTTGTTGGGATCCACGACTGAGATCTTGGCTGCATAGTTCTCGGGGTGGAACCAAGCAGAGTTGTAGTTGCCATAGTACGTCAAATGCAGACCTGCGGAGCTTGCCATGGCAGTACACCATAAGCTACTTGAATCACAAAAACAGACTCGCTCCCGGCACATATCGGCACATGCACCAAAACAGGGGCAGACTTGAGGCGCCAACCTACTGCCTCTTCACTCTTTTTGTTGGCTCTTCCAAGTACGTGCAACCCATCATAGCCTTAGGTTCAGGCGAGTCACATAACTTCCCATGCACAAAATCAAGAACTCAAACGTCCAGAGTCCAGACCGTCCAGAGTCGAGAAACCGCGTCAATTTCACTAATAATCACTAATATGGCGAGCTACCCTCGTAACCAACAGGTCCAAGGATGGACCCACTGGCCTCACCCAATAGCTGAGAGAAAGCTGCCCAGCCTGGACCTTGAATGGTCCTTGGCCAGGCTTCAAAGGAAAGATGCTCGGTCGGGGGCCAAGTACACAAAGCCAAGTCCTCAACACAAGTGCTCAAGGTAGCTAGCACGAAGCAAAGACCATGCTATCAGCCTACAGATTTATGGGATATATAGTGATTGGTAAGGATTACCATGGCCACTTCTCTCATTGCTTTGCTAGCGTTCCCACTGGTGGGTTCTTTGAAAACCAGATAGCTGCGTCATTCACGAATTCAGATGGCAAAAATCATAGAGCCAGCAGCCCAGCAGTGCATTCAAATCATTCAAGACAGCAGTGCTTTCAGTGCAAGGAAAGCAGTGATACTGACTTTCATGGCCAGATGCGGACAAGATTCTTTGCCCGAGCACCCAGACACCGCCAGCATTTGATGAATGGAGTTGGCCGTGAACTGGGTTCGAACGTGGTATCCCAGCACCTGAGAAGTGAATGCTGTGTTTTGAAAGCTAATCATCCTACTGAATCAAACGCATAAAACATGGGCAATTTCGTTTCTTGATCCGTGTGAAAATTTAGTTGTGAAGCTTCCAAGTTGCTAACCAATCCGAACGTGCCCATGTGCGCAGAAAAATTAGGACAGGCTGGGCAAAAAAGGAGACATGAAAAAATAGCCCGGCAATGCCACGCAAACTTAGCTTTGATCACAAAACACGTTTTCACTGTCTTTCACCACATGACCGGAACACCTTTTGAAAGTAAGCCTTTGAAGGTGGCAATCCCTCGTGGCGCAAACGCGGTGTTGATCAAAAAGTGCTGTTATACACAGAGTAATTACCCTGGACAGTTTGGGAAAGGGTGACTTCCAAAAGCGGTGCCCTGTTCTGGGTCCTGGTCAAAAAGGCTCGCTTTACTGCAAGGTCGGATTTGGAATTGGGAGATGGAAAAATGGCGCCCCCGTTGCGACGGTCATAAAAATGATTTTTTGGGGGCACACAAAACTCTGGCATGGATGGGTTAGTGGATATGCATGTTGCGCAACCCTTTTGCAGCACTTCAGAGTTTGCATTGTTTTTATGCCCTTCAAACGCCAAAAACTTGAGATGCCCCTGACAGGTGTGACCCTTGTTCTGGTCTCAAATGTCTACGTAGATAGCTGGCGAGTCGTTAAATTACAAAGTCACTCAGTTAGTTAGTTGTAGTTAGTTATAAAGGTATACAATGAGTTGGTTATACTTAGCTATACAGCATTATACAGCTATAGTTGGCTACACTTAGTTATATATAGTTACATAGTTGTAGCTGGTATCGTCAGGCATAGTTAAAGATATAGTTCGAAGTTACAGTGATAAGTTATAAGTTATCAGTTGTAGTTGTAGTCGTAGTTGGGGTATCCCCCTTGACATTCGCCCCGAGAGGTTGGGCCTACCAAAGTGCAGGGTGCCCAGCCTACCCCCCTACAAAATGGTATGGGGACACCTACTCCATGGTAGCACCCATGGGGGTTGCTGCCTACAAAATTGTGGCCCCAGGGTACCCCACCTGCCCACCAACATCAAGTATTTTGGGTTAACATAGTGTCCAAAAAACTGTGAAAAATGGGAGAGCCATGTTGTAACACACAAAGCAACCCTGTGGTCGCACCCTGGTCTTTTTTGGGCGACCAATTTGTAGACAGTTTACTCTGTATGAAATGTCGTCGCAAAATCTCTCAAGCAATCCTTGCATATCTCAAATTTTTGCATCTTGTGCATCTGGCAATCGGGTTTCATAAAGTATCGTCCAACAGAAGTAGTCAGATAGACTGGACCGAAGTAGTGGTCATCGCTTTTTTTTCTGGACCGGGGCTGGTTTCAAAATTTTGGAAGCTTTGAAAACTTTGCGATCATCTCCACCACAAAATCCACATGGTCGGTTGATATTTTTTGTGTTCAAATATATTTACATTTATTTGTGGATGTATTTATCAACTCCCGTTACCCATCTACTAAATGGTATTCCAAATCTTCTACAAAATGGAGGTGCCTGACACTGGCATATGATCTTGTTCTCATATAAAGTGATGTTGGGTGTGTATAAACAGGTCTCTTTCTACAAAATGGAGTGCCCCGACGGCAAAAAAAAACATAAAATCTGATTTATAGGGGGCCCAGGGCCTACCATTTTAAATGGGAAATGTCAACGGGGATGTTGGGGTAATAAAACGTTATGGTTATAGCTATATAGTCTATATAGCCTAGTTACAGTTATAGTTATTGTCTATTGTAGTTATAGTGAGATATAATTAGTGAGATACGGTCAGTTCTCGTGAGTTAGAGTTCGCTATAGTCAGTCATACTCGCTCATAGTGAGTCAGAGTTAGGTGGAGTTAGTTGAAGTTGGTTAGTGTCAGACTTAAAGGTGGTTAGAGTCCGTTAGACTTGGTTAGACTTAGTTAGAGCTACTCAGAGTTAGATAGAGTTCGTTGGAGTTGGTTGGTTAGGTTAGTTATTTGCTTACTTGGTTAATTAGTAAGCTGTGATGAATGAATGAGTGAAATCCGGGGTGATACTGATTTTAAGTTACTTGGTCGGTCAGCCAGCCAACCAACCAGGCTTGTTGTCACCGCCCCTCAGTTTCCGCGCCTCAGAGGCCAAGATTTGATAGACACGAGTCACTAGATCCACTGAGTCCCAACCTGAAGTGGCAACACCCAGCGGCATGGACACCCCATCAATGGTGAGATTTTGCCTCTGGTCTTCTGGGATGCCATCCTGTAGGCAAGTCGTAGCCGTAGCCAAAATTTCCAATGGCAACCACCCACAGGACGACCACCAAAGGCAAACCCGAAACCACAGCATTCAGAAGATTGCCATGAAGAAAACAAACGGGAGGTCACAAGGCGAGATCACAAAACCTTTGAGCCACATGTAAGCAAAGTCAAGTGCTGCCATATGCCGCCACTTTTTTGTTCATCCTATGGATTGACAGATCTGGCAAGCGGACATTTCCTTTTGGCTTGGCTCGGATGTTGAACGTCCCGGATTCTCACAGCAAACATGGTGTGCCAACCCTCCAGTGGCTGCAAGGTTGTGAGTTCGACCGAAAAGGCCCTAAATTTGCTACCTGTGAGCAGCAAGGGGAAAAGGAATGTGAGAACCTCAGCTAGGCAGCTAGACTTTCACACCACAGGCATTTTGTTGTAAACTCTGGTCAAGGGAGTCAAGGGACTCTCATGCAGGGACTCTTTCCCAGTCTTTATCTCGCAGAAGAACTGTTCAGCTACAATCACAGCATCTTTTTACATCTTTTTACTCCTTGATCTAAGAGTTCAATGCCAATGTATGACGACACCACAAATGGTTTCCAAGGTGACAGCTGAGGAAGTTGATGAAAGCACTTTGTTCGTGGCCACCTTGCACAAAACAAATCCAGAAGGAATAAGCAAAATATTCAATGATGTTCAGTGGTCATCTAGAATGAGTACAGAAAATTACTTCACTTCGAATGATCCCCACCATGGCATTTATACAGTACATTTTCTTACTGGCAAATCTTCTGGCATTCTATCTGACATATCTTCTGGCATTCTATCTGACATATCTTCTGGCATTCTATCTGGCATTCTATCTGGCATATCTCCTGGCATATATTCTGGCATATCTTCTGGCATTCTATCTGGAATTCTATCTGCCATTCTATCTGGCATATCTTCTGGCATATCTTCTGGCATATCTATCTGGCATATATTCTGGCATATTTTCTGGCATCCTATCTGGCAAATCTTCTGGCATTCTATGTGGCATTCTATCTGGCCGGTTGAGGTCCGGAAACAAGTACGACGGTTTTTTGGGGGTTGAGCTTTTTGAGGGTTCGGGCAGTGCCCAAGTGCGACCTGGAGAAAGTCGCGGTTGAGGTCCGGGGAGGCGTCACTGGGATCTGGGAGATCGAGCGTTGGAGGGAGGTCCGGCAGTGCCCACTGGGATCTGGCGCTCGCGGTGGAGGTCCGGCAGTGCCCACTGGGATCTGGACTGCGAGGAGGAGGAGGCGGAGGAGGTGGAGGAGGCGGATGCGGAGGCGGAGGAGGAGGAGGAGAACAGCTCTGATAAAATCTAACAACCCTCACCTGGCAGGTGGGGAAAAACATGATTTAGCCAAAGAAAAATGACGTGAAAGATCTTTCTCAGGCTCAGGTATGTACAGTTGCACATGCATTGGGAGCAGACCCACAGCACAGCTTGCGAAAGCTGCGAAAGCTTTCAGAGTTCATGGAAAAAATCTTCTGGGCACAGCAAGACAAACCCCTCCAGCACCTCCCCGCGTTCTTCCCACATCTTAGATTCTCCGCGAGGTCACTGATGGTCCCAGCCTCATGGCCGTGAACATGGGATCCACTTTTCTGGTCTTTCTGGTCTTTCTGGTCTTTCTGGTCTTTCTGGTCTTGCGACCTGCAGGCAAAAATGCAACTTTTTTGGCAACAAGAGGATCATCCCCACAGCATTGAACAAGGTGGCCAATGGTGTTACATGGTGTTACTCTATTCATCCGTCAAAGCACTACAGTGTCTACAGCTCTGTGGATTCAAGGACTACCATCTGCGTGTATGAAGTGACACAGGTACAGACGCAAATCATTATATACAATATACATCTCCGAGTGCATGCGCCAACTGGTCCTTGCTGTCTTGTTGATTTATGGGTGATTTGACCACATCATCCCACACTCAATGGGTTGATTTGAGGGAATCATCATGAAACGTCACACTAAATCATCGTGATTTTACCCCCAAATTGACCGAGGCTTCAACCAGTTGAAGCTTGCCCAACTCATCCAATTCGTCGAATATCATTATCTTTCAGGTTTAACCGGTTTAAATTCATTTTTTTGTTTATTTTTGCCGGTTATCCCTAGTCAATTCAGCTATATCAAGGTCGCCGTGCCTCTCAGCTGCTGCGATTATGCTGCGTCCACGGTCTCCTGACGAAGCTTCGAGGCAGAGCCCTCACCTTCTATAGGTACATACCAGATACATGTTAATGAATGGGATATTGATGCAATCCATTACAATCCCCATATTTATTGAACTTTATTAACATATTTCAGGAACATTTAACAATAAACAATATGCTAATTTTAGATGCCTCATGAATGGCAGGGGTCCCAGACCTATGACCTGGACGAAGCGGCTTCCGAGCCAGAAGAAACCTGGGATTCAACGGGCAGATTCGTATTTGTTTAGGTTGATGCAGAGGAGGGAAAAACATAGCATGAATGGCATGAATGTTCAACTCATGAGTATACTGTAGCCTAACTGACAAGATTCTAGCAATCCAACTTGGTATCAAAATTGCTATAGGATTTCTAGCGATTAGCCCACGCGTGCCAACAGAAATGCTTGAATTGGCCAACTACCTGGCAGTCCAAACGAATGCGATTGGGACATGGCAAACCCATGTCCAACACAGCAATGGCAATGAAGACTTCCCTTCAGCACCCGGCACATTCATAGGATGCGTGTCAGAGTCTTGCAGCAAATCCTCCGAGCTCTCCAGCTGACCGATCTTTCGACAACAGTGGACCCACTGGACGATATCTAAAAAATTTAAATAACCGCCACATCAATGCGCCACATCAGATGCCACATCACCTCTGTTTTTCATTTCTGGGAAATTTTGAAGAGGATCTCCTCATTGGAAAACTCTGGCACCCTAAGAATCCTAAGATACCCTAAGCTCATCAGTTTCGCAGCCGTCAGCCTCTGTTCGCCAATAGGAGGACCGCATTCCCATCATTTCCCCAGCTGCTGCGATTTGGTGACCAGGAGACGACTCCATCAACACCTCTGCGGCTGGGAGGCCTAGAACGCACTGGTATGCCCTGTGGTGGAAAAATGATGTTTCCACAGGCCAATGAAGATTAAAGGATATGAAAGGTGAAAATCATCCACCACGAATCCATACAAATAATCCTAACCAGGTGGAGCTATACGTAATCATACGTAATCATAATCGAAGTGAATTCAATTATTATGGCTGTTGGAGGAGCTTTGCCACGGATCCTGGCACAACTGTTCTGATTACGATGAACGCTGCAAAAGCCAACAAACATGTTCCGAAATGAACAAAGAAAAACCCAGTGAGCGCCCTGTGAATGCCAGAAGTCATAGATGCAGCTTACCAGCCTCCAGGCCAGCGAACTCTGCTACCTTTCGCAAACCATGGGGCCTGGGCTGATTGTAAGACTTTAAGACATTGCAAGCCTGTGCGAAGAGGCAAGGTTTGAGGTGCAGGATGGATTCCGTGGAGTAACCTATTGGGTTCGCAGCGTGTAGCGGAAGAAATCATCTGGGCACCCATGAACACCTCCCGAACACAACGGCAGCTGGTGGAGCATTGCAGAGGCGGAGTTAGAGCAATTCACAGGCCAAACCTTCAGTTCTAGGATCGTTAAATAGGTGCGAACATCAGGCTGGGACCATCGATAAAGGGAGCTCCAAGCAAGAGAAAACCTCCTGTGGCGATGGCAAACTGCATTCCAGGTGGAAGGCATGATCCTACACAACACATCACACAATATTAGAACAGAATCTGCAGGAAAACCTCGGCCTTACATTTTTGACTCGTATCATATACTGTCTTTTACCGATTTTTACAGTATATAGCCTCCAAACTAATCATCCACCAAATTCAACCAACCATCATGCATCAGTTCTATTCATTTACACCTTTATACCCAATGTTGATGGTCAAAATCCCTATGAAGTGCTGCAATAGATGCTACGATAAGGCGAACATAACACATCAATCTATTCTATTCTGATCATGTTGACCAGAAAAATCACTGACAAATCATGACAAATCCCAAATGTATGGCATGTAATGTCCGAACTAATCATTTAATCATCAACCGAGGCAGGGAAATTTTGAGTTCTCCTGGCAGAAGAAGTTGGCTGATGCCATTCATGGCCTGGTGCGGCTCCTCGGCAAGGCGTCTCGCTGCGATCATCTTTGGAGGTCATGGCGCGGCTGAGGACGTGACTGGCACATGCTCAAGCACGAAATAACACACGACCTCCAAAAAAATGGAGGAAAGCAGGATGTGAGATGATGATTAATGGTGATATATTCTGATAGGTCCGTATAGATGGCATCATTCCAGCATGATTCGTGCAGATTCTTAATCAACGATATGATGTAAGTTCACAAATTCCGGGAGGATGCAAAAAAGCCGGAAGAGATTGACAGCAGAAAGTCGCCATCTGATTGAATTGTTTGAATCACGTTGAACCATCCAAGAATCTAAGGCACGGTCCAGTCCATAATCGTTGGGCATCCAATGAGGTGGATGAAGCACATCCAGCGCGAGCACCCTGACAGATTGGCGGCTTTAAGTGTCCTCTCCCATCTAAGTGATCTTCTCTACCCACATATTTACATATCTGTAGTTATGTGTGCGCGTGGGCAAATGTTAGAATATGTTAGAATCATGTGTGGCTTATACAGTGACAGAAATTAAATGATACCAATGGACGGAGCAATGTGTCTGGCATGCACCACCCTCGGAGAAAAAACAACTGCTCTTTCAATGTCACACTCTACACATGCATAATTCATTGCTGCATTTGTGGGATATCCATGCGGAACGTTTCATTGGGGCCTTGTCCCTTTCTGGTAAATCTGCATCCGCTCTTGCATTCCAGCTTTGGGATTGGCATACTGCAGTATGTCTGATCTGAAGCAAAGCTTTTGAAAAGCTGTGATCACATAGAAAGGCGTATCCCATTCCAAACACCGCCCAAGGGACTTATCAATCTCCACTGGGCCCAACAACTTTTGAATCAAAGCCTTTGCTTTCCAGGTGAAGCTGGCTGCTTGGATCCTTCCAGACGCCAGCGGTTGACCCTCGGGGATCAATGCTTCAATGGTCTCCTCGTGGGCCGGCTGCCCATTGACCCAGGAGTGGAAGGCCGTCCGGTCCGACTCCTTCCAGTAGTTATACAAAGGATCACCGGGAAAGAGTTCAAAGACCCGGGATGGCAATTGACCTGCCTCCCCCAGGGCAGCCACCAAGCGACTGGTGGCTTCTGGAGCACAGTAACCTTTTCCACAACGAACTTTCTCCTGCCAAAGGCGTTTCTGTGACGGTGCTGGAAGCTCTCGAAGTTCCTCTGCCAAATAGGTCAGCTCGTCGTCTGTGAAGCCGGTGGCATGTTGCAAGGCAGCCCACAAGTCAGAGCTGGCAGAGTTGGAAGCACCGGAAGCTGAAGCGATACTGAAGTGAATCGACCACAAGCCGGCCACAAGTGCCACAGGTCTCATCACATCTCATCACATTGAAACCATGTCCATGCTGGCGTCGCTGGTCGTGGTGGCTCAGCCAGCATCCCCCCCGCCACTAGGTTCATTTAGTATCCCTGCCTGGGAGCGTTGCATGTCTTTAGATAGCGGTTCAAGACGTTATTTGCGCCACTCACATTGTGTACGGAAAATTATGATTGACTTGATTGGTGGAAAGCTGTTGTCTCTGAATTGTGAAAAAATGCGAAAAGCTGACGTGACTGGACTTATTTGATGCTTCAAGCGTCTAGGCTCGAACAAAGAGGCATGAGATCTTGCCATGTCTGCTGTGCACAGGAGTGGTTGCTGCCGTCAGTCCCTCGAGCTGTTTCCGGTGGGAGTCACCAAACTGTCTTCGAAAGTGAAACGTCCCGTGATGGCTAGGCAAAGAAGACATGATGCCCAAATATCAATATATACCAATAATATCAATAATATGCCCATGCCTTTGAAACAGAAAAACCTTTCTACACCATCCGGCAATGTTCTTGAAAGGATGCACTAATATAGGATAATACATAGGATATAGACTGATATAGACACTGATATAGAGGCACCACTGCCACCACATCCTACACGGCTCAGTAGGTGAGCCGCAATTTCCTGGCGAAATGTCAGAGGATTGCGGCATCCATCCAACCAACAGTTCACAGTGCCAAGACGTGGCCAAGGGCACCATGACGTGCCCAGGTGACATGTTGGCTTCTTGACGTGGGCCACCTGACAGCTGCAGCTGCAACACAGCCAATACAGCTGAAGAATCTGAATAGCAAAGGGGGTCTAAACTTAAACTTATCAAACACATTCCAACACTAACATGATGTATCCAAGCAACTCTCACAACAGCATCTGTATAAGCTGCTAACGAACGCGCCATTCGGCATAGTCGTTGTGGTGACCTAGTCCAGGGCCCGGGGAATAATGTAAATCTGACTAATTATGAATTCAATGCCTCTACATACATGAAGAAGCTGTTGCCTTCAATTTCTTTGCTTTATGTCCTTCAAAGTTTACGAAGCTTCTGTGTACGCTGTCTGTGTATGAATATGTTTTCTCTTGAAAATACTTGCATTGTACATCATTGTACCATATAAATCACATAAATAAGATCTATAAGTGTTCTATAATTACTGTACATTACAACAATCAGCAGAACCCGTAAACTTCATAACAGCTGCCAGCCTCAAAGTCCTTCCCGGTGTCCAAGCTGGCCTTCTGTGGAGCAGATTTCAGCCTGGGCGATGATTCGAAATGGTGATTTCCAAAGTGTCGAGCCATTGAGGCAACTACCCAACAAAAACCACCCGCTCGATGGATGTGCTCTGCTTGGAGGTCAAACCTGGCTGCAAAATACTGTAGGAATCTGTAGGATGGATAAGATAGAGAACAACTCAGAACTAATGCGTATCCAGGGAAGGGGTGGAAGGGAAAGGGCTTGTAGCAGACTGAAATCCTGCAAAGGGTGCCGCTTGCTGGTCCAACGGCGTGCAGCCTTTGGCTGGGCCTGGCCCGATGGAAAGGACGGAAGACTTGAAAAGCGCAGTTGGTAAAGTTGCTGCCATTCCACTGAGAGGCAGGCTCAGCCACTAGCTCGCTACCGTTGAACGAAAGCTTGTCGTAGATAAACTTGCCTTGCCTTCAATAAAGAGAGTAAAGAAAGATGCAAAACCTGCAAAACGTGAAACCACTCCGACATACAACTGCTTCATGACATTAGATGTGAACCTCGGAGGGAAATGAGATGGCTTCATGACTTCAGAAAACAGAAACAACTCTAGGTTCAGCGCTTGAAATCATGACTCTGCCCATCATCAAGGTAAACAAAGCCTCCAAGCTTCAGAGATCAGCGATGATCAGCGGCTGAATGTGGCACATTGGCACAAACAAGCTCTCACCAAAAACGTCAGTGGTATGACAGCATTCTGCTATGCCATTCCATATCATGCCAAATTCATGCCATATCACTAGACTATCATTGCAATGGGATTCCACATGATTCCACGACTCTCTGGACCACATTGAACCTTCGGCTTGTTCATCTCCATAGATGACCAGGGTGTAGGGGTCAGCCACCATCGTCAAAGAGCTTCGCCTCCGCCTCCCAGTCTGACAGTCTGGTGACATCTGGCGAGACCCAACCCGCGGTACGCCGAGTCTATCGTTGCCTCATTTTCTTGGCTAGGATGGCACCGGCGCGCACGTAGACTGGCACCTGCAAAGTAGCAGAAAGATCAGAAAACAAACAAAATGAACAACTATTGAACATGATTGAACAACTTTAAAGGTGACGTGTAGTGGATCTATAGATCAGATTGTATCAGATTGTTTAAATCTGTTTAACCAAATCGAAATCGGCAATTAAATAATTAGTTTAGGAATTTAGGAATGAAGAACAAATGGGCGATGGATCTTGGGCTTCTGCCCGGGACGAGCTGGTCTTGCGGTGGTGCAGCTTTCCGCCAGCCAAAGGCGCCACCTAAACAGCAGCTATGTCAAGGCTCAAAGATGATGGAACCAAAAACGGCACACAACTGCCATGCAATTGCACCATATTGCACCTGCATATTCCAGAAATCAAACCAGGTACCTTTTGGCCTCAGAAACATTCAAAAACACTGACTGCAGTGACTTGGCCTGTTTAAATAAAGTGTCTGCAGCAATCTGCTGGATGACCACTGAAGCAATGTTTGGGATCGCAGCAAGTAGATGTCGACAGAGCGCTCCCCAGCTTTCGTAACAGCCCTGACCAAAATATCATGGCCCAGCCTTGGTCTCACCACATGGTTCATAGCTGGGTGTGACCAAGCATCATTGGATATCATTGGCCATCTCAGTATCTTCTGGGTAACCAACAGGTAGTGCGTGTTCTGGTGCTTGAATGCCTAACATCATTCAACAGGACGTAGGTCTGACTTGGGCCGTCATGCGCATGGTCTCAAGATGCTCAAAGAGGCCTCCAAATCAGAGGGGTCCTGGTACCACAAGGGCTGCATGATGGGGATGCCGGAGTGGGCCCACTGCGCAAATAATGTGTACCTCGCACAGGATTCTCTGCTCCGGCTGATCCCTGATCAGAAGCGAAATCTGGGTCACCAGAACGGCAGCATCTGGTAGCGGACGCTGACCTCCAGGAAGTCATGGCAGTGCTTGAAGAGAAATCAGGTTTGGGAAAAAAACACAGGGAAAAAAATGTAAAATTACTTTACTTCGTGTGATCCCCACCATGACATTTATACATTTTGTTACTGGCAAATCTTCTGGCATTCTATCTGACATATTTTCTGGCATTCGATCTGGCATTCTATCTGGCATATCTTCTGGCATTCTACCTGGCATATCTTCTGGCAGATGTTCTGGCATATCTTCTGGCAGATGTTCTGGCATATCTTCTGGCATATCTTCTTGCATATGTTCTGGCATATCTTCTGGCATTCCATCTGGCATTCTATCTGGCATATCTTCTGGCATATTATCTGGCAAATCTTCTGGCATTCCATCTGGCATTCTATCTAGCATATCTTCTGGCATATTATCTGGCAAATCTTCTGGCATTCCATCTGGGCATATCTCTAGCTAGCATATCTGGCATATTTCTGGCAATCTTCTGCTATCTGGCATATCTTCTGGCAATTTTCTGGCATTCTATCTGGCAAATCTTCTGGCATTCTATCTGGCATATCTTCTTCTGGCAACTCTATGTGGCATATCTTTTGGCGTGGATACTCGCGTTGAGGTCCGGCAGGGAACCCTGGGCGTGGATGGTCGTGGTTGAGGTCCGGCAGGGAACACTGGGCGTGGATGGTCGTGGTTGAGGTCCGGCAGGGAACACTGGGCGTGGATGGTCGTGGTTGAGGTCCGGCAGGGAACACTGGGCGTGGATGGTCGTGGTTGAGGTCCGGCAGGGAACACTGGGTGTGGATGGTCGTGGTTGAGGTCCGACAGAGAACACTGTGGATCGCGAGTCGCAGTTGAGCAGGAGGACGAGGAGGACAACGAGAGGAGGAGGACAACGAGAGGAGGAGGAGAGGAGGAGGAGGCAGGAGGAGGAGGCAGGAGGAGGAGGACCAGGCAACTTAGATAAAATCTAACAACCCTCACCTGGCAGGTGGGGAAAAACACATAATTTAAAAACATGGGAACACAGAGAAAAGAAAAACGAGAAGAAAACGTGTTCCAACACTCTTCAGCTCCGGGCCTGCTCTCTGACATTCTGCGTGATCTCCTCTCCAAGCATCCAAGGTTCTCGTCTCTTGGTCCTGATGATTTTCGATCCAAGTTCAGCTGTGAGCAATCTCCTCATGGATCATCCTCCGATCCGTGCATTTGCACATAGCTTTGTGCTGTCACCATGTCTGTTCATAGATCCCATCCATGAATCCATCCTAGATCCCGACAGTACCCCTGCGACTAAGCCGAACTAAGCCTCAGACTCCAAATGCGCATGGCCTCTGTAGAAGGGGTACCAAATGCCGAGCTGATGCCACCTGATCGTAATCCCTTGCTGGGATCATGCAGCGCACAGTGGGCGCAGTGGGCGCAGTGGGCATAGCGGCCTCCGAAATAGCTCTGGCTCAGCGTCCTGAGCGAGAAAAACAGACATCTCCAGACATCTCCAGACATCTGACAATGCTTATGATGAAATCTTTTGGACATCGCATCCCGGCTCCAACTGGTTTGGCCGAATCATGGTGAACTTTCTGGTTTAGCTACGCTTGCAACATTGACCCATCCACAGAGACACTGTATATCAGTTGCCAATAGCCGGTGACCGCAGCTCGGTGCCGTACATAAAAAAAACCGGGAACGTCAGCTCCAACAAAGGAAGTTCCACAGAGGCACAGCGACCTCGAGGGTTGAAGCAATGCCGTGTGATGTCAGATTCACATGCCCGCCCTGAGGTTCTGACACAAGCATGGGCACTGAAATTGCCAAATGCTCCCACCTGGCTGGGGTGTCCCAGTCTGGTGCACAGGATCGTTTTGGTGGCCACATGTGGCAACGGTGCAACGGGACAGGAATGCTTTGCCATGTTGTCGCCCGTCCAAATGGCTCCGTGTCGATGGGAGCCAGCGAAGAAGGAACGCGTCAAGACGAAGGGGCGAACCTTGGGAAGGTGCCAGGCTGGGAATGGCTGGGAATGGGATAAAGAAACATTTGGGACAGCATTGCCAATATGCCAATATGCCAAAAAGTGGGGAAACGCAGTTGTTGAGAATCGAGAACGTAAAATCATAAACAGCCCATACAATTCGCCAAACTCGACAAATCAAGCTGGTAGGAAAGAGCGAGAGAGAGAGAGACAGAGAGAATGAGAATTGATCCCAGCCTGATGAAACAGAACAATTGCACACTACCATGTAGAATCATGAATCATGTGCAAGTGGATACAAATATGCCAGAATGATTTCAGAACGCATATCTGCCACATGCCGCCCTTAGCAGCGAGCATTTGGAGCTCGCGCCAGCTGCCCCTCCACAGTGGCCTGACTGATCAGACATGATCAGTGCTGCAGTGCTGCTTGGTGTCCCCTGTGCTGAGCTATCCACCATGTGATGATAGAAGCCATAGACCTCAGCGCTGCTAGGCTGCTCGACGCTAAATGACGCTAATGTCAATCGATTCATGGCCGAACTTGAAGACTTGGCCCATGGCATTGTGCACATCCCGATGTTCAACCTATATCAGGTGGCATGTGAAAGCTCCTAATAGGCAGCCAAATCCCTAGAAGCCTATAGGTCTATAGGTTTTCTGACTGCAAAATCTGCAAAGTACAGAATCACCAAAATCCACGAAGGTTGTTGGAAGTCTTTCGAATTCTCTCGGCCTTGTAGTCATTTTCACTGCACTTGTGCAGATTATCTCGTGGCCTTGGCGGCGATGGAACGAGTTTCTCTTCGTGGCACGCACAGTGAGGGCAGCGGTGAAGATCTTCTGAGTTCGGTGGCATGGTCACCTCCGGCCCATTGAAGACACTTGGCCTAGGCTTCACATGTTTGCACAGGCTTTCAGCATGTTTAAAGATATGAAGATATCATAAAAAATCGGACAAAAAATGAAAAAAAAACAATTTCACACAGTCTGCTCTGAGGCATGAGCTCATTCATATCGTTCCAAGTGTAGAGGTCTGGCCTTATCCCTATCCATCATTACCCGTCCAGATCATCCATGCCCATGTCCGAGTCGTACCCGGCCTGTTGTGGGGATAGTAATCCATCCGGAAAAAGCTGGTCCAGAGCTTTCGGGCCTCGACAGTGTGCCACATTTTGCCAACGCTAAACTGCCAGGGGAAATCCACAAGAAGCATTTAAAAGTTTAAGCAATTCCATACGGATCCTGAAAGTTGTTAACAGCCAGCCTCTGGATTGCAGAAATCTGGGTAGGATGATGTCCCAGGCCAACACCAGCCTATCCACAGCATGCCCGCAACGAGAAATCTTCAGGTCATCTCCGTCATATGATTGTCATGTCTGATATACAATCCTTATCAGCCTTATCAATCCTTCAGACATGCCGGGCTCCACCGTCATAGAGCTGCTTGTCTTTGGTCTTGGTGAAGAAATCGTGCGACTGAGCTGCTTCATTGAATCACACGTGAGCAGGGGTCAGGGAGGTTGCAGCAAAACCATTCACAAGTTGGCAGCACTCAAACACAAGCTTGGAACACCTGTCCTTTTTCAGGGGATGCATGATCAGATTTTTTCTGAGGGAATGGTCTTCAAGCAAAAGATCCTTTGCCTGCATCTTCTTGTAGACATCGTACCTGTCAAGACAAGAATCTGCCTGGGTCTGCCCTTGGAATGATCTGCACAGGAAGGAGTCGGAAGGAGTCGGAAGGAGGGTCGCCCAGTTTTCAGATGTTTTCAGTGGGCGCACCCAGTATCTTTCTTGATGTGCGGGTCAATGATGGTCACCAACTTTCTTCCGGATGCCTCAGCCCAGCGCCATGGCGCCAGAGAGCCATAGACCCTCAAAACAGGATCAGCTACAGCGCAAGGGGCCTCCAGGGTGTCCAATAACTTGTCAGCTTGGCCAAAATGAGTGGGATGCCAAGTGAAGTACTTCTTGCCTCAGTCCCCACATTTTGATGATTTTTATGATTTTTATATGTGTTCATCAAGGCAACTGCTCAACTGCTTGCACCCAGACTGAGTGATGGACTGTCAGTGTGTTCGATGTCGAGCCAAAGCACGTCATAAGGAATGTCGTGCTGATCAAATTTCCTTCGTACAAAAAACCAAGAAGCCGCTGCAAAAAATATGCAAGAAACAGTCGTGCCAAAGCCAATGGAGAATATGGAAAAGATAGTCCTGTTCACGCTGATGGAGTCGTCAACATCCACATAGTTCCACCGTGACCTGACGCCGAAGCAACTGAAGCAACTGAAGCAACTGCAGCAACATCGAGCTCGCGACTGGTGCTTGCCAAGAGTTGCAAGTGGTGGGAATCGGGGGAACCTGAGTCATGAGAGGTCCTGATATGCCCATGACATGATCATAACCCATGATTGATACTCGTGCCGTTCAGTTCTGGGGAACCAAACATCAACCAGGAACCAATCAGGAACCAACAAGGACTAGGAATCGGGCCCGGTGACGGTGTGATACCTGGCTACCGGTGTGTTGGTGGGTGCATTCGTCAAATCTCTGGATGGTGACAGCTGTGAGCCGCTCGATTTGTGTTGGCCTCTGAAGTACGTCTCGCGGCCCGGGCCCAGCGAGGAAAAACCTGAGATCGTCAGGCGCACCGGTGCAAACATCACAAGCAAACATGAACACTGCAGCATACTGCAGCTTCCAAACGTAGAGCCATTTATGGTGAGATTGAATTCAGGATTTTCACGCATGCCTTCTGCAGCAGAGTGAAGCTTCCAGGCTGGAAGAAAAGAAATGCTGTGCGTATTGTGTGTGTGTGTCTGTGTGTGAATATTGTCGTGCAGGGCTGGGGCTGACACATGTCCATAATGCCGGACTCAAACAGCCACCAACTCCGTGTTTCAGATCCTGTCAGCTAACAAAAAGTGTCACCATCCATGGCAAATTGGAATGACCCATGTCACAAGATTCAGGATGCCTTGCGTCTCAACGTGGACAAATCCTTCCGACCTCGCAATCTGACCAGGGCAACTGCAACATGGTTTTTCCTCTGCGCTACGTCGCAAATGTCATGGAATCTGCATGGAATGTGCCAAGGCTCTGGCGGGTTGGGAAAGAAGAAACCCGAAGCAAAGGTGCCAGACCTTTCCAAATTTTCCAAATTTCTCCAGGTCTTGGTATGTCTTGGTGCCGGAGCAAGGAGCAGTGGAACTCTATGGCCGAGATCCCATTGTAGCTGAGAGTCTCGCTGCTGGTTTTTCGGATGATGTATTGCCGTCACCAAGGGTATCTTGGCGAGACAGGGCTGAAGGCACAAACGCCGCATACCAAATTCTCGCCCCAAAACCAAGGTTGATGGTTTGCTGCTGTTCCCTTAAATCCCTGGAATAATTGGTAGGTGATGGTAACCTATGCTATATTGATATGACACTCCTCTCACAACCCATCTGAAGGCCCCGGCTGCCCCATACAGTGCCATGGGAACATCCAAGGCCTCAGATTCCCAAACTCAGATGTACCGGGGGATACCGGGGCACTCTCTGCCTCATTGTCCTCCAAAGGATCCAAAGGCCAATCTGTTCTCTCACCTTCAAAGTTTCTCAGAAGCTACTAAGAATACTATAAGAATACTATAAGAATACTCAGAATACTAAGACAAAGGCGTACTCAAAGACATCCAAGTTGAAGAATCGGTAAGGCCTCAGCCATCCCCATCCGCCCCATCCGCCCCATCCTCTCAGGGTCCCATCCCCATCGGGCCATGGACTCGCTGAAGCGGTTTTCGGCCAAGCCCAAACCGGTGCCATGTTCCGCCAGGCCGAAGATGTCGTTGGCACCCTGCTTGATTCATCTTGATTCATCTTGATTCATCTTGATTCACTGATTCACCGACCCTGAACAAAGTATTCTATAGTTGGCTTTCATGGCTATAAAGTATGCTTAAGCAGCACTTGAGCATGCTTAAATTCCATTCGTTACTTTGATTTGGAAAAACTAAGAAAAACTGATAACTGATATCCCTATAGCCTATATATGCCAAAAAACACTTGTCAAGTGCTGCCATCAACTGCACCAATCATCAATCGTTGACTCAACGACCGTCCTCAAAGGTGATGTCAATACCAACTCCTGCAGGTCCACGTGGCTTGCTGTCGCTGTGCCCACCGAAGCTTTCCTGCGGCATGGCTCAATCGATTTGGGCATGGGGCCCAGTTGGATTGTCACTCATGGATTGCTAATGGGTCCTAATGTCTTCAAAATCCTCAAATGGATTTAGAGATATTTAGAGATATTTAGAGATTCGGCTTTAAGTATTTGAATAGTATTTGATGCATTTTGATGCACTGTTGTCTGGACAACTGGACCACTGCTTGAGATGCAAACGATTTGCACCGGTGTTCGTGGTTTGCTCGTTCTTCCTTGGTATTCCTGTGTTCGCGGCTGCCTCGAACAAATCGTTGGAGTCAACATCCGTGGCATCTACCAGCCCTGCATGAGGCTGCCTGGCGCAGGTTCCGATGTCACTTCTTTGCCAAGGCCTTGGCCTGTTTCACCGTGTTTCACACCAACACAACAACTCCACTGCAAGTGGATCGCTGTGGCCCTGTGGGCTTGCCTACCTTGCCTATGGAAAACACAGCAACCACTTAGGCTGCACAGACATGGCAGCTTCACGCACCCTTCGGACGATATCTTTCGAAGTTCAAGAAATGCCTGGAGTTGAACTTCTGCACCACCTCCAGAAACGCGCTGAAAGGTGAACCAATGATTGAAGCCGAAGCCGATCGAAGCCCATACGTTTCTTTCTTTGATGTTCACAGTGTTTTTTCTGCATTGTCATCGTTCTTTCCGTAGCAGTAGCATGTGTTTGATTGTGTTTCTATAAGACCATGTCAGGAGTCACGATCACTAGTGGATCAACGACCGTAACACACAACCTGGTCGTTGACCAAGAAGTCCAGCTCAAAGGGGCTATGTCTCAGCCGCACCTCACCAGTCTTTGGTCATTGAGGGCTGTTTGCTGCAAAATGTGTGCAGAAACGGTCCATGGATGCAAAAAATGCACAAATCAGTTCTTAATGTTAAACATTGTTATAAACACATCGGCAGTGTGCACCTTGCAATCTCCAGCATAGACTTCCGTTGCTCCACCGACATCTTTCACGGAGACCTTGCCAAGGTTAGCATCGGCGGCTTTGCAGCCAGGGAACCTGGTGAAATTGGCACCCGGAAGACCCGGAATTCAGGGAATGACGGTGTCCTTCTGCAGTTCCTCCTCTTTTCTAACCACATCCTTAGCAACTCGCTAAGCAACACCTGGACTGGACAATGCGATTGCTAAGCACCAGGTTTAGTCAGTTAGTCCATAAGCAGGAGCAGTTCATGCCAACAGGTCACGCCCGCAGTCAACCGGAATCGAGGATGCAAGGGCTCCTCAGAGAAAATCGGTTCGAGACATCTACATGCAAAGCATCAACCAGCTTCTCGCCATACCTTCTCACCATTTTCATGAATAAACACAGACGAACAAAACTCAGATCATCTCAGATCTACCAAAGCAAGAAGGTCAGGCCTCTTCTGTGATGAAGGTCCTTATGATACCAGGCTTGCCATCCACGTCATTCCGGAAAAAGCTCAGCTCCAGAAGCAGCGGTTTCACCTTCAAATTCTAGAAGCACGGTTGAACTCAAAAGATCTCTAGGGTATCATGCTGATTGATGCTGAATGTCGTTCAACCTTCAAAATTAGCTCGGCTCCCAGCTGTTTTGTCATTCGCAAATCGCAGTTTCGCCTGGTTCCAAGTTGAGTCTGAAATTGCATGCCCTATAATGGGAAAAAACATGAAAGGGCTGAGGATGGCTGAGGGGTTGCAGGATGGAGGGACGATCAGCACATGCCTGCAGCTTGTTCCCCTCGAGCTTGATCGAAGATGCTTCAACAGAGTGGACCACAGTGCCTGCAACATCTGCACTGGGAAGCACAAAAATTGCGAACGTCGCATCACACAAAGCATTCACAAAAGCTTGGGCAATTGGAAGATTTCTTGGTCCGCCTGGTTCGCTTTGAACCTGGGATGACTGGCATTCACTAGAAACAAAATGAGGTACGAGATACGCTCATGAGCAATTTGCATCAATTTGCGCTATGCTTTTAATTTAAAAACGATTGTGTGGACTCAGAGTGCAGCCTTGCCAATGTATTTGCGATACCTCCGACAGAAAGAACCCTGCCTGAGCACATGGAGCAAACAATCTCCAACATGGCAATCTATGGCAATCTACTTAAGAGATCTTAAGGTCATGTTGCAACACTATCTACATCTATCTACCATATTCCTGCGGTTTTTTTCTACTTGTTTCCAGTGGCATTCGTGAGCACAACTTTGATTGTCATCAAAATAAATAGTCTTTTTCAGCCAGTACACATAATATGTCGACATCATGACTTTGTGCAATTGAAGCCAAATGAAATCCTCCTCTCGATTCCTTTCCTAATCTGCTACATTTTGGCATCAGTGTTCTAAAATATTCTAAATATCTGAGGTTTCAACTCGCATGTTCTGAACTTTGACTTGTCAACAGCGATGGCAAGGCACACCAGACCTTCCGGGAGGGGAAAAACGCCAAGCCTCGCGTAGACCAGGAAGATCCTGGAAGCTACGGATAGCTACGGATAGCGACGGTGCCAGGCCTGCTAGCAGTAGGATCTGCGCCAGGCGTCCCATGATGCAGCAAAACTGGAACGGATTATACGGAGTGAGGTTTTTTTGAAGTTGATATAAATTTATATAATAATATGAATATAATTATATATATTATAACTATAATTCTATAATTAATTATGTAATAATGATATGACATGCTATGAATTGATATGAGTTCTTCCCTTCAGTGGCTGTTATGGCCATCAGAACCTTCTATCTGTATATCGGTATTTGTGCTGTGGGTGCCGAGGTTTGGCCTGTGGAGTCACTGGATACTTGTTTCTTTGCTGGCTGAATTTAGACAGAAATTGATACAAAAAGCTGATGTCCCAAGTCTTGCTGAAGCATTCTCGTCATCATTCAGTCATCTACTTCTCTTCAGTTACCATGTGCGGAAGCAAATCAGAGTTTGGCTCAAGTGTTCCTCAGCCATAAGGAGAGCCAAAAATGCCAAAGAGAAAGGAATAAACACATCCACACAGTGCCACACAGGAGATCACGGAAGTATAGTCTAGTCTAGTTATTGTGCTAGTGATTAATTAATTGATTACAGTAATTTATAATAGCGAGCTGCTTTTGAGCTGCTTTTGCAACCCCCCTTTTGTATCCTCCTGTCTGCTGTTCATGGCTCTGTGAGCACAACTTTGGCAACTCACATGCCACGCAAACCAATCCCACCACTTGTGGATTCAACGAGTTCCCCAACAGCGCCCATAATTCACGGGCACGCGAGGGATCCGAGGATGGCAATTGAAAGCCAACGCAGCGACAAAGCTCTGGGACTCCCGATGCTTCCGGATGTGTCTGGCACCGCGGAAGGCACTGACGTGACGCCGATGCGCCACAAGTGCCACAAGTGCCACAAGTGCCACCAGTCTGATCGATGCCTGGCGAAGCTGAGAGTTTGAAACCCAGGAGCCGTGCTGCCTCGGATGGGGAGAAATAGCGTAAGGACCCATAGAAGTCCTGCATGGCATAAGATCCTGGATCTTTGGAAGACTCCAACAACTTTGAAGGTAACACATAAACACTGCCTGTGCCATCAATATATCGGCCATATGCCTTGGTGAAGCACAGAGAGTGGCAGCACCCATCGTAAACCACATCAAAGCATCGTGCTGAATCTTTTTGCAAAGTCTCTTCCGGCACCAACCATTGCAGGTCTTTTACCGATTCGGTGTTTTCCTTCTTCGAGTCGTTCGGGTCATTCGGGTCCAGGAAATCTGCAATCGACAGCAAGTTGTAGACACAGCTGGTGGGTCCCCCCAGTCCTTCCCCAGCTTCATCAGGAGCTGTGCGACCACAAGCAGAGCAGCTCTTGCGACACTCACTGATGGAGGAATGCCACTCAGCAGCAAGGCATGGCAAGCTGCGCCATGGCCTGGCATGAAAGAAGAGCTCTTCTTGGATACTTGCCAAAATCAGTTTGAAATCAACAAAACATGGTGATCATGGTGCGGAAGTCTATTTCCCTGTTGATTGCAAGAAAATTGGTAGCCCATCGAACCAAGGGGGGAGAAATCCTGTCACGGCCTGTGCTCCTGAGATTCATCGTGGACCATGGGCGGTACGTGCTCAAAGGCGGGCCTGTCGTGTCTCTGCTTAGCCACCTTAGATTGCTCGATTTCTTTGGTATGCCCACAAGACCACAAGTTTAGAAATGCCTGTGCCTGCCGTGTCTTCAATTCTTCACCCATGCCCATTGCCCGTTGTGAGGGGGGTAGTTCCTCTAAGCTCCCTGCCATGTAGAATCTCAGGCGTGCATTGGGAAAGCCAAACTGCCTGGGGCCTCAAAACGGACAACTCAAGATACTCAAGGTTTTCGCAGGCTTTCGCCCCAAAAAATCATAAAAAATCTACACTTCACTGAGGCTTGGTCTCAGCAAAAAACTTCGCCAGTCATAGTTTCGTGCTTCCAATGCCTCCACGCGTGGGATGTCGCGGATCAATGTCTGGCGCTCAGGATGATGAAGTCAAAATGTGAGTCATGGCAGCGATGCTGCAGTTCAAAATGTCCAAGATTGTCCAAGTGTCAGTGAAGCCTCGCAAAGGAGCTTGAAGGAGTCAGAGTGCTCGAAGTTCTTCACATTCCTTATGGCATAAATGATCATATATGGCATAAACATCCCATTAACATGCACAAACCACTCACCAAATTAGTTTCAACACAACTGACCCATTGGCCCCACATGGCCCCACGACCCCACACCCCAGATCTCTGCTGGGCTGCTCCAATACGATGGCATCTGGCGGGCTGTTGACCTCGCGAAGCACCTTGATGATGTGAAGCAAGGGCTTGGCCCTAGGATCCTGGGGTGAAACCGGTAAGTGCCATCCTGTAATACTATATATATATATTGTAATATAATTACACATATATATATATATATATACACTATCTCATGATAAATTCATAATCTATCTAAGTGTATACCTAATACAAGCACCGTACTTAAGTCACATCAGGCGGGAAAAGTCACATCATCCCCATGGCACGGCGGCGATACGGAGAAGTCACATCAGGTAGTGGAAAGTCACATCAGGGAAGAAGAATCACCATGGCACAGCCTGTTTCATCCATACTTGGAGATGTAGTTTAAAATAGCCGAAGCATTGCGCACAGCGATGATTTTGAAGGGCACAAGTTAATACAAACAAATTCTCGGCAGCTAATCCTATTGGATTTGAATATATTATATTGATGTCCTGCGTCGCGTGACCAAATCAAACCCCTATTGGTACAGCCTCAAATTTCTTGCAATGCAAGTGGGTTAGCTGTAGCAAATCCTATTGGCAGGGCTATGATCTAGGATGATATAAGGATATGGGGGCCCCTTGTTTTCCGCAACCAAATCTATGGCTGGCGCGATGTGCATCAATGTCGTGGACAGCTCTCAAGAAGTTTGTTGTCCTATCCACCCAGGAATTACGAATTGGAAAAAAACCTTCATTCAGCAGCAAGCAGCAAGCAGCAAGCAGCAAGCAGCAAGAAGCAAGCAGCAAGCAGCAAGCAGCAAGCAGTAAGCAGCAGCAGGCAAGAAGCAAGCAGCAGCAAGCAGCAGCAAGCAGCAGCAAGCAGCAGCAAGCAGCAGCAAGCAGCAGCAAGCAAGCAAGCAGCAAGCAGCAGCAAGCAGCAGCAAGCAGCAGCAAGCAGCAGCAAGCAAGCAGCAAGCAGCAGCAAGCAGCAGCAAGCAACAGCAAGCAGCAAGCAGCAGCAAGGAGCAGCAAGGAGCAGCAACAACAGGCAAGCAGTAGGTGAGCAGTAGGTGAGCAGTAGGTGAGCAGCAGGTGAGCAGCAGCAGGCAAGCAGCAGGCAAGCAGCAGGTAAGCAGCAACAAAAAGCAGCAACAAAAAGCAGCAACAAAAAGCAGCAACAAAAAGCAGCAAGCAGCAGCATGGAGCAGCAAGCAGCAGGCAAGCTGCAGGTGAGCAGCAACAGGTAAGCAGCAGCAAGCAGCAGCAAGTAGCAGGCAAGCAGCAGGGAAGCAGCAGGCAAGCAGCAGGCAAGCAGCAGGCAAGCAGCAGGCAAGCAGCAACCAGCGTTTGCCCCCTTGAAAGAATGATCAAATATATTTTTTTAAATCAATGCAATAAAAAAATTGAACTTTTTCCAGCCGCACGGCCCCAAAACAATGAAATTGTTCAATTACTAAAAGTTGTGGTGATGCCAAACTTGAACTTTTTCCAGGCGCACGGCCTCCCGATACGACTTTTACAAGCTGATACGACTTAACGCTAGCGCTAGTATATCTACAAAATTCTATAGATATTTATTATCATCCATATGGACCCCACAAATGAACAGTCAGATCCTATACTTGGGGGTGCTGGGTGGTATTCAATATGATGGGAATGGGTTTGAACTGTTATGAGGCTGGTGAACGTGTGAAAGATCACCAATTCCGAACAGGACCCTGGTCATGAGGTGTTGGCTCCTCAGCTACATTTAGATGCATTATCTGATAATCATCTGGGATCTGAAATGATCTGAAATGATCTGAAATGATCAGATCTGAACCCAGTCCTCTGCATCTCTGACTCTGCCCTGCCTATCACACCGCAGCCCAGGTCCCAGCCAAATGGAAGAGTTTGGGCACTAAGCCAGGAAGGGTCAGAACATCCAACGAGACATGGATGCACCGCAGCCAAGGCATGTTCCACCCACAAAATGCACCTGGTGTATGGCTGGCAAGGCCTAGGGACAGGGACAACCTGCACATCCAAATGACGTCAAAACAAATGAACAGAATACTAGCAGTGTGAAGCAGAACCCAACAGTTATGTCTACTATATGTCCACTGTATGTCTACCGTATTTGTGTGCCACTGTCTGCTACTAGTACTGCACCTATCTCAGTTCTTCACGGTGACATTGTCCAGATTCTGCACTGCTGCCGGTCAAACCTTGCGGGTTTTTGCCCATGAATTGTCCATGAGTTTGGAGGGAAGACATGGAAAAACCGCTCCCTAATGCTCAGTGCAACAGAGTCACATTGCTGACTATCCATGGTCCATTTTCAACCATCTCTACTCTAATCATATCCCAATGCAACTTCTGCCCGATTTCAGGTCAGGATGCAGCCAAGAGTCCACTTCGGAGTAAGACCTCGAAAACCATCCCAATGGATAAGATAAATACATAGACAAAATATACATCTAATGTACGGAGACAAGATAATGTAGAGATGATAATTATAGATACATGATGATAGATACAACATAATGCAACTGTCTATAAAGATGACTGCACTGGAAATGATGGCGTTGAAAAGCGCAGACTCGTCGATGTGAATACATGTAAATGGTATAAAATGGTATAAGTAATTACGTGCCTTCAAGAGTCAGTCTACTTGATAGAAACGAGTCAACAATAACTTATAGTAACAACTTGTTTGTTGCGAAGCATGTTGCTGTGCTGGGCCGCCAGCTGCAAATATCACGATTCACGATGTGCTCTGCACCTTTGCCGCATCATAGACACTTGCCGGTGCTGTGGACTTTGCCGTGAGGTGGGAATGATTGGCTAACCTCCTTTGTTCTGGATGCTTCATCAGGTTGAAGACAACACCTTTTCATGGTGATGTTGATGTTGATGTATGATGATGATTTAAATGGCAGGTTGCATGTCTCAAAACTTGGGGCCAGGACCGAAATTGCTGGAGTAAACCGCAAGCGCCTGAGACGGTCTGCAGGACTGCAGCTTCAACAAAGCGGAAGACTCTACTTGTAGCACCACCTGCTGGTTCACTTCCACGGCGATAGCGTCAACCGACATGCCCGCGTACCTCTCAAGATCTCTCAAGCAAAAGGGCTCCAGAAAGAAACCCGGATGAAACATGATGAAACCCTGCGTCCACCCACGAAATCTTCACGATGCCATTTGGGCTATGCACACTAAGACTCCCCCCTTCTCTCATCTTCTCTCCCCATCGCAGTGCACATCGAGCGTTGCGACTTTTCCGGTTGCCTCTTCTCCACAAGCTTACAGGCTTGGGCATACGGTAGCCCAGCCAATTCGCAGTTACATGTTCTGAAGCTGCACTCCCTGGCTCATCCTCCATTGAATGATCATTGGAGCAGGAGCAGGGTCAGTTTCTTCACTCCGGGTGAGTGGAACAAGTCTCCAAGTGAAAAAAAAAAAACTGTCAGAGGTGAGAAGCCGGTGTTCAACTTCTCACTGTGACCATTTCCCGAGTTTCCCGAAACTGTGCTGATCCCTCTTGAAGCCTCATCTCATCATCTCATCAGTCCACAGGCCTTGGTCAATTGCGGAGATAGTGCGAGGTATCAAGATCCGAGGGGAAGATCAAATCACCCTGTGCCAATCCTATCCACATCCTATCCACATCCTATCACAATTATAGGGGTTGTATCCCAACTGTTGGGAGTTATTACCATGGTTCATATATGTTCATATGGTTCTACCACGTTCGACCCGCCAGAAAAATAACCCCAAGCAGCTCATCCTAATTTCCTCTAGGGCACAGTTTCTTCCCGGCAGCCCACTTGCAAAACTCATCGAAAAGAACTTGTCCGCCTCCATTCGCATCCTAGGTCCCAGCGGTCCCAGCAGTCGCAGTGAACTGTTGGTGAACCATGGTGAACTGTTGGTGAAGCCCAAGAATGGCTGGATGTGAAAAATGATGTGAACCGTCCTCCGACATGTGGCCATTCACTATATTTATTTGGCCCACACCCACATCCTCCAATATCTCCAATCAAAACGAAAGGACATGTCTGCTGCGGTTCCTGTCAGTGCTGACAAGGATCCATGAAGTTGAACCTGGGTGGTACAAACCACCCCACAGGGCAAGCTCTGTATAGATTATTGGAGAAACATGTAGAAATGATGTGTGTTGCTTGTTGCTGTGAGTCAGAGCATGTCAAAGCGAAGAAATCTGAGAGCGTCGCTCATCAAAAGCTTCCGCCGGTGTGAGTTTCAGGCTCAGGAAGGACACGCCACTGCGGAACTCAGTCAGGTCCTGCCGCTCCACAAGGTGCACACGGCTGTAAGTGGCACGGCTGACGAAAACTCTGCAAGAAAAACTAAAAAAAAAAACAAGACATCTGCTGTCCATGCGCCGGTCGTGGTCGGTGTCCACAACCCTGGGTTGCTGAGTCAGTTTCACTACTCAGGGCAGCATGATGCGAAGCTGCTGTCATATCATGATACTCTTAACTCATATTGGACTCTGATCGCTAGTCTGCAACAAGTTTGTCGCGCAAGCCATTCCCACAAAGCCCCAAGTCAGCAGCCGTGTCTAGGACAGACCGTCAATCACTATTCCAGTATAGTCTAGTCTAATATAACTCTTGCCCACATTGCCGCACAAAGGGCTCGTAGAGGGTGTAGAGCTTGTTGAAGTAGAACCTTTCAGGCTTGGTGTCACATCACAACATACGTACTGGCATGGATTGCCCATGATTGCCCGAGAGTTTCTCAGAAGCAGGCATGTTCCGCAACAGGACTTTGAATTCAGTCCTCAGTGCCCGACTATGCGATCGATGTCTACAAAAAACCAAGAGATGCCAACGGTCCAACGGTGACCTTCCTGCCCTTCCTAAACTTTTTCGTTGAAAAATATTTGATCGCCGTGACCGTCTTGTTTCAGACTTGGCTCTTGTGCACATAGCCATCGGGATTGCGCAGGGTTGCCTTGTATGCGCGCCTCAGCGTGAAACATAGTGAAGCCACAAAGGTGGACACGAACAATTGCAGAAACTGGGCACACACAAAAAACAAACAGAAACTGACTAACTGACTTTGCTTGATATTTTTGATTCATTCATGATTCATTCATGATTCATTCATGATTCATTCATGATTCATTCATGATTCATTCATGATTCATTCATGATTCATTCATGATCCATGATCATTGAGTATCATTGACTAGGACGCAAATCTCAGCCGGATCGCATCAGAGCGGGTTTGTTGTTGAGCTCTTTGAAAGACTCCTTGGCAGTTCGCAACCGCACCTCTGTGATCACTGTGATCTGGCTCTTGAAGATACGCTCGAGGGGCATGTTTACAATCAATAAATTATAATAAATTGGCCCAGCAGGCCAGCAGATCACATTATGTCGTTCATTGTTGTTCTATCCCGTTTTGAAACCAAAATCTCACCAGAAACGTGGCCACTTTATGGCCAGAAACGTGGCACTTCAGTTGTCATCCCTCTGACACTCTGCCCATCTCTGCCCAGCTACAGTGACACAACCATCCATTTCAGCCAGGCTCACCAAGCCATTACCATTGTAGTCCTCGAAACAGAAAACAGATGAAAACAGCATCGAAGGTGGCCATCAATGGTTGGATGGGGCCAAAAGTCTGCGGAGTTTTTTTGATGCAAAGAAACCATCATCGTTTCATAAACATCATAAACCAAGTGGCCATTGAACGCCAAATCGAGTTCAATTGGCGAGTATCCTGGGCAGTTTTTAGTGTGCGCAATGGCAACGGATGGCACCGCATGGCAACGGCTTCCAAAAGGTGCCACTGTGCCGTTTGAAACGCGCGCCTTCAGCAGGGCCTGCATCTTTTTTTCGGCAACTTCAAACTGATTCCTGGGAGCTTCTGCATGCCTTTTTCGGAGGAGTATCATTAGCAAAAACCTGCAAAAACTATAGCAAATTCATATAAATTCATATACATGGTGAATATTGATAATTCATATGCTAACAACACCCTTAATATTATACTATTATACAATAAGCAACCAGGATTGATTGACCCGGCGACATGACAGCCGCCCAGCGGCGCCAACTGCGTCTTCACAGAGTGGCTGTGGTGCACAGAGCCCTGCACCGGCCATAGAAATCCATGGAGAATATGAGCAAAATGTGATTCCATGTGATTCCTGTGGCAGATTTTTGATCACTATGTGACTAATTGTGACTAATTGTGACTATATGGCTTTCTACAGGCTGACTAGCATGCATCATGATTCAGTAATCAAATAATCAGTATTAATTGGTAATCTAATGTGGCAAGGAGTACTGTATATTGATTGCTGGAAGCACACAGCATGACATCTAGCCGCCTAGCCTTGTGGTGGGGATGATGATGCGTAGGAGATGCATTGGCCATTGTGACTTGGGGCGTGTACACGTTGCCATCGACGGGGCATTGCACCTTGAAAGATATTGAAAGATGCTGGAGCGGGACGATCATCATGGAATACAGATGAATACAGTATGCGTTTAATGTGGTAAACCATGGTAAACCCAATGAATGCCACAAACCATGCCCGATATTATCATACATTGGTATCATTGGTTGAGTTTGCCACATTGATTACATGTCATGTGGATTTCCATGGATTTCCTATGCAATCCACGTAAGTCCCAGTGAAAAAAGATCTGAAGCTGAGCCAAAGACCGAAGTAACCCAGCGGCAGAACTCATCAAACAGCACAAGTCCACCGCGATTCCTGCAGAAACATCCACTGCCATCAGGCCATCAGCCAAAATCGTTACAACAAATTTTAATATCATTAACCATCCATTAAACACCATTAATCATCCATTAACCATCCATTAACAACAAACTTTAATGAATTTTAGGATGTGTTTCTTAACCTCACCATTTGTTGCATCTCGTTGCTCTCACTGCAGTTGGTTTCGAGTTTCGAGCCTGTCCAGGCTGTCAAACAAAGACCGCGGGTTCACCACCTGTCAGAAAGTTGCCGTATCTTGTTGTGCCCCAGGGTCAGTTGGTCGGGAAACAGCGGAACTTTATATCCCATAGGATCCATGTATGGTATATATGCTAACATTGGGGGTATATTGATGGTAAATGTTACCATATATACCATACATGGATCCTATGGGATATAAATGATGGGAAAACATGGGGAATTTAGACCTTACATGACCTTACTGGCTTCGGAGCGCTGGGACAGGGACCGAGGCCATTCCCAGCAGCGACAGCCCTTGTCGGAACTCCGGAAAGGCCAGACGTCGATCCGCGTCCGTGTCCATGGCTTCAAACACCTCGGGACTGGTGGAACTGGCGAAACTTGGGAACTTGGGATACTGGGATAAGGGTATTTAAAGGTATTTACGGGTACTTCATGGTATTTCAATGTATTTCAGTATTTCTAACGGATAGCTACAGGGGTAGCTAACGGATAGCTAAGGGCCATGCAGTCCACACCTTGTTGAAGTAGATGACATTCCTGAGCAGCACAAGGTGTGGTTGTTGGCAGTTGCATGCCAGTTGGATTCATGGATGCACTTTGGCACTTTGGTTTTGGATCATTGAAACTTCGTTGATACTAAGCAATACTTAGACTTGGCAGAGTCCCACCACTTGCAGTGGCGACTTTTAAACGGGGCTCCTCAACAACACGGGGAACTCACGCTTGTTGACATAGCTGTCTTTGTCCAAATCGCTGGACTTGTATGCTCGCATCAAGGCCTTGGAAGTTTCGAAGTCACACAAGAAGCGTGTGGATTTGGCCCCAGTTCCACCATGTTACATCCTTAATAATCCTTATAATATCATATAATATCACAACATATCACAACAGCTTCAGATGATTTCACATGAGTAAGCGCCAGACAGATTTGTTGTTGAGCTTTGGATACGTTTCCACCACCCACTTGTCAATTTCGGCCAAGCTGACGATACCATTTCCGTTGTAGTCGATCGCATCCCAGGCTTGCCAAAGACTACGCCGCCCAGCTTCAGATCCCGAGACCCAAAATTTGAAAGATTGTTCGCAATCTTGGAACTGACCGCTTGTAGTGATACTCGCATGCGGCCCTTGTGCTTGTCCTGGTCGGGGAGTCATCTGCTGCATGCCAGCATTAGCCAAGCTGCGACCACCACGGGGAAATGTCGCGGAGGAACCAAACACAGCCTCGGTCAAGGATAAGCAAGATCTAGAAACGTGATGCATCAAATATCTTCAAATGCAACTCGCACTTAAAGAATGTGCATACTAACATGCTGTATCATGCTGTCTGTCAGTCTGTCCATTGAATAAATTCGGCACCAGCCAAGAAACAGTTTTGTTCTGCGTTGCAGCCATACTATATCCACCGGGCATGGTAGTATGGCTGGATTGCGGGCTCTACGAGTGCCCTTCTTTTCCAACCTTTGAGTTTTTTTGGGCTGAGAGCCAACTGCACGCAACGGAGCTGCTAACACAAAATGATGGCCAAACAACCACTGGCGGGGAAGATGTAGCAAGTCAAAGTTAAGTGGGTTGATCGAAAGTGTATAAGAAGCTGTAACAACATACACAAGTGCGGCGCCTGAATTCAATCTATCATGTATGATGATGGTGCAAATAGTCTGCTAAGGGCACGAGAGCGCGAGGCGCATGCCCCCAATGCCAGCAAACAACTCCAGAACTCTGACATCTCTGGCGTCTCTGACCTAAGCACAAAATTATGGCCACGTCGGCCACGTCGTATGGACGAGGTACGAAGTGCATCGAAATGCTAAGGAGGGAACATTTGGCACATCTTCCATCGAAAAGAATTGATCAGCATGCGAAAGTGGATCAAATCTTCTATGGGACTTCTTGGAGACCTACTTGGCTACTCGCTAGCCTTTCATTTTCTCATCAACCACGGAAAATGAAGGGCCACCCAATCATATATTGCTTTAGGGGGAAACACCTCCAAGTGCGGAGCTGCTGCTAACTCAGATCTTGCATTTCCAGCAGGTTTTGCGGGTTGGTCTGTCAGACCAGAGAGCTCCTGGATGTGAGAGTCCATATGGCTGCGGCTATGTGAGCTTCTGGTGTAAGTTTGTCTGCTCTGAACAGGTTCTCTGCTTGAGCCTCACGATCAATCGTAGCTAAACACAGATGCCCAAGGATGCAAGGGACGCAATCAGCTCTGTTGCAAAGTTCCATCTATTTGGTTTTGTTCCCCATGTGGGCGTGGGTCGTCATACTTCCATTTTTGTTATCAAAGCTGGTTGGAAAAACTGATGAACATACTAACATCATAGTCTTTCAATCTTTGGGCACCAGGTTTCTTATTCCAAGAGGATGTCAGGAATGGGCTCGCACCACACAAAAGACATCAAAAGACATGATGTTTTTTCGGCTGTGCCTTTGGCAACTCTGCACTGGGGCACCTTTGGCGACCGCAGCTGGAAAAAAACGCCGCATTCCCAAAGGCACCAGCTTTGGCTGGGCTGCATGCGGCTTCATTATCTGGTTCCATCTGGTTCCATCTAGCTCCTGAATTTCGCAGAAAAATCTCACTTACCTACAGCTTTTTGGATTAAGTTATTCCTGGTTAGTTAGTGGGCCGATGATCACTGTCACAATCATAAACCAATACCTCTAAGCAGTGTGTGTGACAGTCAGGTCGGAGGGCAGGGACCATGAAGAAATGTGGTCAGAAGTTTGCTCAACGGCTCTAGCACTGGAAGAGCCAGGAGACAAACTCCTGGTAGTCCTCAGCATCATGACATAAATCATGACTGTCGCATCATGTCACTGCTCTGGCGTTCCTGTTTTCACACATCACCATCGACCTGCTGCAAAGCAAAACATGCATGCACATATAATATGCATATATCATAAATTAGTGTAGCCAGTAATCCAGTAATTAATCATACAGATCTGATTTCAATCCCAGGAACAATAACTCCATCTCCATTGCAGTCCGCTTTCTCGAACAACCGCCTGACATCCTGGCGCCGCCCGTGGCGAAGCGCTCCCAGTGTTCCAAGCCCACCTGCCTGGTCTCGGATCTTTGGATCAATCTTTCCTGGGGCTGGATCTGACTGAAGGGTAATTAATGGTAGTAATTAGTATTGGTATGTAATGGTGGCATTGGCTAAAGATATCTAAAGATGCTAAAGTGTGGCCAAAGGATTGGGCTAATATTGGATCTCTAAATGGTTCAAAAATGTTCAAAATCTGTAACGCTTCTGTTTAGGTTTGGTCCAAGCGCAACCGAGCATCGGAGAACTGAGAGGAGCTCCCTCTCAGAAATCTTTCCATCATTGTTCACATCCCACTTTGCAAAAGCACTCCTGAAACATCTGAAACATGAAACATGGAATCCAAGGCCGAAACAGACTCCATGACACTTATCTGTGAATTGGGGTGGTCTTCTACCTGAATCTTTTTTAGCCCATCAAGTTCATATATGTTTGTCAAACGATTTGTCTGAAAACTCATCTGGAACACCACAGAGTTGCTGTTTTGGTGAGGGATGCGCCAGGGCCCCAGATGCCCCAGGGGATGATGTGGCCCTCCATGGCCCTCCATGATCCACCGTCGACTGGGCTTCCGGCTGCACTGCCCGTTCATCGTCGGAGCCATCTCCCCGCAGCCCTGCAGCCTGAGGACCAGCAGCAACATGACCAACATCGCCATTGGATCAACCGTTGGATCAACCGTTGGTTGGCCTATGCCTAAGTTCCAAGCTGCTCGTATGAGCCCAGTACCGCTGAGATTGGCCCGAGCACCTGTCAGAGGTTTCTTCAAAACACTTATCAACTTAGCATCACCCGAGCAAATCTTTCCAGAAAATGGTGTTTGTCACAAGCTGCCTCGATATTCGCCAATATCTGGGATTCGTCGAGCTAGTTCAGGTTCCAAGGGAGCTTCTTCAGTCAAGTCCAAGGTGCCCTGCAACAGTCTCATGAACTCGTTGTATTGAAGCGTCCCAGTGCAGCTGCGATCAAAATATGCCAACATTCGAGCTGCTTCCTCTTCAGTGACCTTTGCCCGTGCTCGATCAATTTCATGACCCACAGCCACTCCTGCACCCTCCAAGGCATGAAGGAACTCTTCCAGTGTTACGACGCCATCGTCATTCAGATCAACACTTTTGAACATTTTCTGCATGTTGGAGCGGCGCTCAAATAAAGCTTCCCTCAAGTTCGTCACCAGTTGAGCCTCTTTGCGGCTCAGTTGGCTGACCCTCTGCTGTAAAACCAGTTGACGAAGATTCTCCTGGGGTCTGCTCTGTTGCATCAACTGCCTCTTCTTCTCCTCTCGTGCCACAGCAGCTGCGTGTGGCCCGCTCATCACCAGTGTGTCGCCAGGGCCACCTATCGATCCTGTAGGTCCTGTCTGAGTGCTGGAAGCTGATTTCGTTCCAGGATTGAAAACGTTGAGAAAGTCAGGGACCGAGACTTCACTGTTGCCACTACCACCAGCTGCTTGATCAATACCTGATAGGAATTTGATGGTACGCGGGGTTGAAAGCGACAACTGGAGCTGTTCAGCAAATGCTTGGAGCACATCTGAGTCTACTGTCGGTAAGTTAGCACCACTTTGGCCAGATGATGTTGCAATGGAAGGCACCTCGGGGTTGCAACAGTTGGCCCATCCCTTGCAACTCATGCAACTGCCACCGACAAAAGCATCAAAAGCCAGCTGCTGAATTTAAAAAACTCAACGGCCTGTAGGGCCTGTAGCTGTATAAATTTAAGAGCAACCCTCAAATTCCGGGCCTGCATAGCTTCAGACAAAGCCTCTGCTGGCGAGACATACAATTTTCTCAGTCGTTGCCGCATCGTCTTCACAATGTCGTCATCGCTGGCATCATCAAGAGCGGTCTTCTGGAACATGTACTCTGCCTTCTCAAAGATTCTTGTTTGAGATGTGGGGGTGCACTTGTTTGCCTCAGGGTGGCTATGGGAATTCCACACTCACATCCACCCGCGAATTTTCACCACATGCTTCCAAACATCTCCAAAGTATCTTAGCTTCCACATGTATGCAGCATTATACAACTATAAACCTATAACCTATCTCAAATTGGTCAAAAAAAACTGAGCCAAGGACTTTTGGTGCAGGGCTGTCATGGCTGCTGAGCCCACCATCTCTTGGAAGAGTAGCATCTGCAGGTCTGGTGTCATTTAGACCTCTATTTGTGGTGTCCAAACCTCCCGCATTTAACGTGCTAGTCATGTCTTTCTGTGTGGACATGTGTTGCAGGGTGCGTGTGAGATTTGCTCGCTCTTCTTCTTGTGCTAATTTCCCTTCTCCATCTTTGAGTTCTGAGTCTGGAAGTCCTGCTTCTTTGGCTTCTTCCAAGGCTGCCCTCAATGCCTGCAGTTCACCTGACTGCATGGCATCCGACAAGCGACGCCGTGCCGTGGCACGTCGCTCTGCTTCCTGGAGCCGTTCCTCAGCGTCGCTGGCATCGAGGCCGGCCTCGGCTGCAGCTTCGATCGCTGCGCGAAGTTTGTCAACGTCAGCGTCGGAGCCGTCCATGGCCTTTCGAAGTTTTTGGGCGGCATCAGCTTTGCGTTCCAGGGCCTGGAGCTGTGCTATTGCATCCTGCAAGGCATTTGCATTGATTCCAGCTTCACCTGCCTTGACCAGAGCTTCCCGAATCTTTGCTGGATCTTTTGAGGAAAGAGCCTCCTCCAAATCTCTTTTGGCCTGTTCTTGGGCTGCTTTCTTCTTCACAGCGTCAATCAACAGCTGATCTGCTTCATCTGTGAGGCCAGCTGATTCAGCAGCTTGAAGACTCGCATTGATGTCAGCTAAAGATGCTCCAGTCCTCAAGGCATCATGGAGCCCTGCTCGTGCAGCAGCCTTTGCTTCAGCTTGTTCTAGTGCCTTCCTTGCTGCATCCATCTCAGACTCATCCAGGCCTAAGTCCGCAGCACGTTGCAGAGCATCTCGAAGGCGGCCAATGTCCCCTGATGTGATAGCAGCTGCAAGAGCATTGCGCGAAGCGGTTTTCTCTTGTTCTGCTTCTGCGTCCTTCAACGCCTGTATGGCTTCTGCTAAATCTTCCTCAGGCAAACCAGCTTTCAGAGCTGCATCAATGGCTCCTCTCAAAGCATCAGGATCTCTGGATCGAAGGGCATTTTCCAGCAAGTCTTTGGCATGATCTTGTTTTGCCCTTTCTTTTGCCCTTTCTAGCATTGCTTGTCGCTCTTCTTCCCGAACTCTTTCAGCCTCCTCTTTTTGCCTCCTCTCTTCCTCCTCTTCAAGTTCCTTCAGCTTAGCCGATGCATCTGCCAAATCCTCATCTGAGAGCCCAACAGATTGACCTTGCCGAATAGCTGCCCGAAGTTCTTCCATGTTGCCTAATGATACGGCCCTCCGCAGGGCTTCTTTGGCTTTGTCTTGACGATCTTTTTGCCGCAGAACTTCACGGGCCTGTTCCAACAATGCATCTTCCACTCCTTCCCTTTCAGCCTCCTGCAAGGCCTCCTTCAGCTTCTCCACGTCTCCCTGCCTGGCCATCAAGATTGCTGAGCCAGTTGCAACATTTCGTCAACATGGTCCTATTCAAATGGGCCTTTATATAAACATCTTTAAACTGTCTTCCCCCACTGGATCCAAATGCCCTAATGCAAGAGCAGCATTACGAATGATATGAAAAGCATATGCAAAAATACTTAGAAAACTTCAATCGCATGTACATCTGTGCGTCAATCAGTTCCAATTTCCCACATGTTCCCAGTTCCCATCAGATCGCGCCTCAAGGCCTCCTGCAGCGCCTCCCGCGCCGCTTGGCGTCGCTTCAGCTGCTCCAGGCGCTGCTGCGCCGCGCGCAGCTCGTCTGGCCGCAGCTGGGCAGCTGCCGCGCCATGCAGGGCGTCCTCTGCGCGAAATTGGGAGTTTTTTTGGACACCCTTGGCATCCCTTGGCGCAGATGGGAATAATATGGAATAATGGCTACTGAGGCTATGGCTATACTGTTGATTCAAATGGATCAGTCGTGAGACGTCACGAGCTGTTTTTGGCACACAAAAGCTCAATCTAGGGAGGCCTGCGAAAACAACGAAGCAAACAACATTTATTTATGCAACAACTATCAATGTTGAGAAAGCACTGCACATCACTGCACATCCCATCAATGTAAACCATACATCCATGCTGAATATTGTCTGATATGGTAGCAGTGATATAACATCAGAGGCCCTGTGTCCAATGACGGAGCATCTCCTCCAGCTCCGCTATGCTTTCCCCAGCTGCTGCTGCAGACAATCTTCTCCTGGCCTGCTCCTTGGCCTCGAGGTGTTCAAGACAACGTGTCGAGGACTTTGGGTTTAACGATCTTATATGATCCAAAAATATCTAAAATATGGGGTTCAATAACCAATATAACCAATGATAAAATGTTTGGAATTATAAAAATAAATTATAAATTTACAAAAAGCTCACCCCAAGTCAATCCACAGTTCCATGTCATGTCTTTCTTGATATGCGTCAGTGGCTGCTGCCCTCCGTCTTTTAGGCGAGAGAGAGAGAGAGAGAGAAGGAAACAAAAACACAAGCATCCTTGACCATAGCTCGGATCGTATCTCATCATACCCAGGTAAAGGTGACCAAAAACATTTCTTCCCGCCTCTTCTTCTGCCAGGACTCGCTGAGCCTCTTTGACTTCATCTTTGAGGCCAAGTTGTTGCCCTTTGGCGATAGCTGACCTGCACAGCTGCACGGCTGCCATGTCACTCGGCACTGTGGCTCAAGGTGCTTGCTGTGCAACATACGGCAACAGATGGCAACAGTACCCCCAACGCCTCAAACTGTGCGGGTCTCGAGATGCAATCGCTTCTCGCAGTTTCTTCTTGGCTGCTTCCTGGAACACACAAAATCACAGCAATGAACCACGGAAATTCACAAACAACCGTCACTGCGACTGCGCCGTTTTTTGGATCTATTTTCCTTAATTTCAACAGCCTCCTACTTTATATTATTTTATGATTATACGGTAACTACATGTAACTACTACATCTAAACATACGGATTTTTATTTAAATATACGCACTTGTAATATTTTAGACTACCTCTGGGAAGGTTTTGCTTGGCCCGCCCGGCCATTTAAACATCCGGAATCCAACCTATGTGTTTCGTACTACAGGCCTTGTGGTCTGGCCCGCCTTCCACAAATCTATATACATGTCGTTACCGTATAATCGAAAAAGGTTCCGCGCCTTCTCTTCCAATTCCTTCAATAATTCCCTTGCTGCCCGGGTGTCGTCTGCATTCAATCCTGCTCGATCAGCTGCCGTCAAAGCTGATTTGAGCTGGCCAATGTCCTTGGAAGCCATGGCCTGTTGCAGTCGTTTTCGAGCCTTGCTCTTCGCATCTTCAGAAGCCAGAGCTGCCCTGGCAGGTTCCAACTCTTTCGCAGGAAGACCAGCTGCTTCACCCTCTCGAATGGCGTCTTGCAATGCCTCCGGGTTTCGGCTCACCAAGGCCTTCTGCAAAGCACGTCGTGCTGCAGCCCGCCTCTCCTCTTCTGCCAGCAGGCGACGAGCTTCATCCAACTCAGGACCAAGACCTGCTGCTTCACCAGCTGCGATCGCTTTTTGAAGGTCTTCGGGTTTTCCTGAAGCCATGGCTTCTCGCAGTTGCTGGCGGGCTGCATCTCCTTGTTCCAAGCGTCTCAACACTGCCTCAGCATCCGCGATGTCGCCAGGTCGGACTGATGCCTGTCTCGCTTCACCTAGTGCCAGCTTCAAGGCTTCAATGTCTTGGGCAGCACAGGCCGAACGAAGAGCTTGGGCAGCTCTTTCCTTGCGCAATTCTTCGTCCAAGACTTGTTGGGCTGCTTGCACTTTGGGATCATCAGAAGGCAAGCCCGCAGCGCTTGCACTGTCCAAAGCCACTTGAAGCGCCTCTTTGTCTCTGCTGGCAGTTGCATCTTGCAACCTTCGCCGAGCAACAGCCTTCAAGTCTTCTTGGCTCAGTGCCTGCCTGGCTTCTTTCAGCTCATCTTCGCTAAGACCAGCAGCTTCTCCTTCATCTAAAGCTGCACGAAGAAGTTGACCATCTCCTAGACTCACAGCCTCTTTGAGCCGTTTTCTTGCAGCCTCTTGGCGTTCTGCAGTGTTTAATGCAGCTTGAGCTCTTGCGATTTCCGCTGCTGAAAGGTTGGCAGCCTTGGCTTCAGCAATGGCCTGCTGCAGCTGATGGACATCACCAGAAGCCTCAGCCTGTTGCAGCTGTGATCGCGCTTGGCTTCTCCGCAGCTCGTCTTCCAAAGCCTTTCGGGCAGCAGCCAAATCCGGGTCCGGCAAACCGGTAGCTTCACCAAATGCAATGGCATCCTGCAGATCTTTGGGGTCTCTGGATGCCAAGGCATCACGGAGCTTTTGCCGAGCCAAACTTTGGGCATCGAGTTTGGACAAAGCGTCTCGGGCAGCTGCGAGCTCGTCTGGGGCCAGGCCAACATGCTCACCTTCAGTGATGGCGGCCCTGAGCCGCGAAGCATCGCCAGATGACAATGCTGAATTCAGTGCATCTCTAGCAGCTGCCCTGCGTGTCTCGGCATCCAACATCTGCCGTGCTGCGGCCAAATCGTCACTCCCAAGACCTGCAGCTTCTGCTTCTTCCAGAGCTTGTCGTAATTTCGCCGCATCGCTTGGAGCGACAAACTCTTCCATGGCTTCCATGGCTTTCTTCAAATTCTCTCGAGCTCGGGCCTGTCGCTCAAGTCGTTGGAGAAGTTCACGCGCCGCGTGAAGCTCTGAATCTGACAGGTGCCTCTCGGCCGCGGTCAACGCATCGCGAAGCCGCGCCGTGTCCTGGCTGCGCATCGCCTCGTGGAGTTGCTGCCGGGCAGATTCTTTCTGGAACTCCTCCTCCAACCTCAGATGATCTCAGATGATAATCTGACTATATCTGATTTGTTTTTTAATCATCTCAGATCAACTCGGATTTTAGGTGGATCACGTTGGATCCCGAGGCCATCCAAACTTAGAATCCATTAAAATCCACTAGCAGCCATGAGATGTCCATAGTGGGAAAGGGATGGAAAGGGATGCAACATTGAACATCAAAACCCTTAGCCTTAGCAATCTCAACAAAACACGACACATGGCAACAGCTCAACGCCATCCTGAGAATGCGGCACATGCTGAGCTTCGTTGATGAGTCCATCGTCCGCACCCTGAGCCTTCCCCACATCAATGGCGTGCTTGAGCATCGACACGTCCCTGCCAATCAAAAAAGGCCAACGCTTTTTACGTGCATACATTTGACATATTCTGACATAATTTAAATATATTTAAATAATGATTCCGGTGCAGCCTCACAAAAACTCTTCAAGTATTCTGAAGCGTTGACCTGTGGCTCCGTGGATGGAACAAGGGATCCCAAAGATTCCCAAAGTAAGAACCTCCCAGCGCTGGGCCGCTGGCCTCCTTTTGATCGCTTCTCTCAACTGATATTCTGCTTGATCGCGGCCATCCAAGTCCTTGGGAATCAAGAATGCGCTCAGGAACTGCCAGCTTGAGAAAAGGTTAGAAAGCCTAGATAGACTGCCTTAGACTGCCTATAGAGGATCATGGAAAGGATGGAACATGTATAAAAAAATGTCACTCAAGGGCCCAACCTTGAGGACTTCCCGCGCTCTGGAGAGCTCTTCCGACAAACCCGCGCGTTCACCCAAGCGCAAGGCCTCAAGATACATCTCACGAATCTCACGTCCCAAATTCCAATATATTCCAATGTGTTCTACATCTTTGCCGTCTCTATACATGTCTACTACAGGTATACATGTCTATACTGATTCTATACGCTTCTACTCTTGCAACATTCTTGCAACAACATCAACAACATGCAACAACCCGTATACGCCTTGCAAAAGATCCCCCGTATACGCCCTACGAACTGCCTCTTGCAAACAGTCGCGGGAGGCCACTGCTTTTTCCAGAGCTGCACGGGCTCGTGCCTCGGATCACATCCAATTTCAACCGCAAAAGGAACCAAGTAAGAAGATGAACAAAGTAAGTCACAGCAAGTCACAGTAAATCTTTAAGGAGCTGGAAAAATATGAAAAACATGTCTTTTTCACTGCATTCGCGCGGTGTCTCATTATCGTTCAATAATCTGGTTGCCAGGCAAGCAAACACGCTCAAATGCTCACGGAACTTGCGTGTCCAAGGAAACACTTGCCTTCGCTCGCCTTTTAAAGGTGCGTCTTTCTAAAGCAATTCTGGGCCGTCAGAACTTGAAGAAGAAGAACTCATCGGCGATCGGCGAGCTTCGCAGCTGATCAATTTCAGCCACCTCCTCTGCCGACAACTTGAAGTCATAGATGCCCAAATTCTCCTTCATGTGCTTCGGATTGCCAGTGCCCGGGATAACGCTGACATTCTTCTCCAAAGCCCAGCGAAGCAAAACTTCCCCTGCTGATCTCTTGTGCTTGGCCCCGATCTTTTGAATGCCATCTACCTTCAAGGCCTTGTCCTTTTTCATAAGACCTCCGAGGGAAGCGTAGCCAGTGAGGGCAATCTTCTGTGAATGACAATACTCCACGACTTTCTGCTGGAAGTCTGGCAGCCAGGGATGGTACTGCAACTGATGCACGGCAACAGGTGCAAGTTGCAATGCTTGGAGTTCCTTGATTTGTTCGATTTGGAAGTTGCTAACGCCTAGGTCCCGGATTTTCCCCTGATCTTTCAGCTCGCTCAAGGCTTTCCAGGTGTTCTTCCGGCATTGCACGTGGTTCTTGCACCCGTAGTTGTAAAACTCATCCACAGGGCCACCCATGTAGGTCTGCCAAAACAGCATGGGTGCCAGCTTTCTCGGGGCGTGCAGCAGCAAGACATCAATGTATTCAACACCTAACTCCTGTAGGATCGTCTCCACAGCGTGCTGGGTAGCATCGTATCCGAAGTCCGAAGGCCAGAGCTTGGAGACCAGGAACACCTCCTCGCGAGGAACGCCTCGTGCAGCCGCTTCTTTCAGTGCTTGGCCAATGGCTTTCTGATTTCGGTAGATGTGGGCAGTGTCGATGTGACGGCCGCCTTGAAGCAGATACCACAGGATGGTATTGTAGACGCTCACTGCGTCGTAAGCCGTGGGCCTGCAGCACATTCCGATCCCCACCACCGGCATCTGTGCTCCGCTCGCCAGCTGGAGTGTTTGGTCACCGGCACGGGGGGCAGCTTTCAGCCCATCAGGCACTGGATCAGTGGATGGCTTTCCAAGACCCATCAAGGTGAACGTGCCCACGAAGAACAAACCCATCGGTCGTTCTTCAACCATGTTGAGGCATCCCATCAGTATGGCCACAAGCAAGACCAAGAAGCTGCAGCAGCGAAAACATCCCATGGCGATGCTTATAAACAAGACGAGAATGATGAATATGAGGAATATGAGATCAAATCTCAATGCTGCCAGCAGAGAAGAACAGAGGGACAAACTGTCAACGTTCAATTGACTTCAGATGAATGATAAATTCACCTGGAGTGGCAAATCTCTGCTCATGACTGTCAAGTTGAGCTCCATGCTTTTCGGGTTTCCTCTGCCAGAATTTCCCGTGCAGGAACTAATTCCTTACGGCCCAAATCCGCCCGGCTTCAAACACAGCGGGTCTGCTGTGTCAAAACCGGCAAAAAACTGTTGTTCAAAGTTTAAATCATATTTAAAATCTGGTTGAAATCATGTTTTCTAAAAAACATGTCAGTTAAAATCTGTCTATGCCGATCTGAGTCTTCCACATCCTCCGGCAAGCTGCAAGCCTCGCCATCCTGATGCCGGACGCCGGTGACAAACTTCCAGGATACATCGACATGTAAATCTTATGCATATGTTAGTATATATATATATAGTATGTGTGTAAATAAGTATGTTATAGATATAGATGTGTCTGTCTGTCCGTCCGTCCGTCCGTCTGTCCGTCTGTCTGTCTGGATGTGCATGCCTGCATGTATGTACCAGTATGTATAAGAATTCTGTATTTCATCATCGATTCATCATGTCTCAGTGTGTCATTCATGTTCCTACATGTCTATATATAATATATATAATATATATATAATATATATATATATATATAATATTGACACAAGCATCACCATATGGCGCTACCAAGGGAGCAACCATGGACCAGATGCCACTTGCCGCATTGAGGTGCGAACAGCGATGGCTTCTCGCAAATCGTTGGTATCACGACCTGGGTCCGGCTTTCCGGCGGATCACCAGTGACTTCATAATCAGATGCCACAACAGATTCTAACAGTGTCAAATGGCAATTAATATAATCAACTATATTATAATATTATAATATATTATAATATATTATGTGTATATGTATTATATAGTATAATGCAATCATAATTAATCGATATTAATCGCTATATACCTCTTTTGACCCCCCTGGGGGTCCCCCACCCCAGGTTGGAACAAAAATTCCAACAGTTTCGGTCCCCCACCCATCCTCACCACAACTGAGTTGTGCAAGTCAACGCTTCACGGCAAGTCAGTCAAAACCATGAGCATCAACGCTCGCTGTCCGATAGCAACGCGTCAAGCATGTTCTTGCCATTTTTTGTCACTTTCTCCATGTTCAAGCATGTTAAACCATGTCAACTCCATGTTTGTAGGAGCACGCATGTCAATGTTTTCTGGGGGTAGGGGGCTGTTTTTTTTTTCAAAATTCTGGGGGGTCACCCCCCCCCCCACCGTGGAAATTCCAGGCCCTGCTGGGTAGCGATTTAATATATTTAATAAATTTTAATAATATCATAAGTGTACTGTCATGATTCCAGACTCCACCCAGCTTCGCACTCTGCATTGCATGCTGTAGTCGCTTCCTCACTTGATCTCTCCACTCCTTTCAGGTGAATGCAATTGTTCGTCATAACAAGAATGATTCACTGTGAATTCACGGTGGCCAGTCCTCTCGTGCCAAGCTCTTTCTTGCCTCGGTCAAGGTCTCCTGTTTTCAGGAAGCTGTACACCATTGGCGGCATATCAAGCAATTGAAAAATTCAAACCTTCTAGTTGGGCGTTGCCATCTTTCCCAGCTTTGCCATCTTAATGCCATCTTAGGCATGTTTGGCATCTTTTGATATCTTTTGTATTCTTTTGTATCTTTGCACTTCCATGCGCTTCCCGTATTTTCCGTCCTCGCTGAGCCCTGCCGCTTCGGCATCTTGCAGTGCCCGCCGTAGCCGCTCCGCGCTGCGGGGCTGCGCATTTTGGGCGTCCTCCAAGGCGTCCTCCGCGGCTTCCAACTCCTCCAACTGCTGCAGCTTCAGCTTCGCGGCCTGCAGCTTCAGCTGATGGCTTCGGCTCATTGTTTGATATTAACTTTTGAACCTGTTGATCTTTTGACTATCTTGATTTCATTTGTTGAAACATGTTGTGGCAAGAATGGATGGATATTGGATGACTAGCTGAACAAGGCCATGCATTCAGCAAAGCTATCTGTCTCTATCTTGCTGTCAGTATTCGGCCTTCAGTTCATCAGCATCCAATCCTGCATCCTCTGCTGCACGGAGTGCCTTTCTCAGACATGCCTTAGGGTGCTCAAAGCGCAAGTGCCATCAATCATAAAGTCGGATAGAATATTAATAATAAATCAGAATTCCAGATGCCTGCACCAGCAACAATCAGGTCAACATTTTGTGCAAGATACTGCATGTACCCGTTCAAATTCATGAATCATGATGTCATGAGAAAAAGTTGCACTTTTAAGTGTGGACCTCATGCGCTTGAACATCACGAGAATCCAAGCTCTTCACAGCATCGTTTCCTGCCAGTGCTCCCGTCAAAGCTGTGGCCTAGACAGGTGCAACGCTTGAAGTGGAACCACCAAAGCCAGAAACAAAAAGATCACAACATGGCGCAAAATCTTGGAACCAGGACTAATGCCCATGATTCACATACGTATTCGAAATTATTAGAAAGGCACCCCCCCGGCAGGGCGACATGTAAACACGTGACTGGATTTGATTTGCTCGAAGGTCACATGAATGAGCCAGGCATGACAAAAAAAAAAACAAGTTCACCAGTGTAAACACAAGCTCACAAGCTAAATGAGGCAAAATTTACTTCTAAAGCATCGTTTTCTGTCTTACGCAACTGCTCCACAGCAAGTGAACGCATGTTGGGGCGACTTTCCCGAGAAGTTCCCCCCAACTAAACGCAAAATTGGATCGGGCGGGGTGTTCAAAGTTATGCGGCTAATAGCAGCTAATATAAAGTCCCACCCTAGTATTCCCAGTCCATGTCGATGTCCTGCCTCTGGAAGATGCCCCCCACCTAAACCAGCACCAATGACGGCGAGTTGTTGGTCCTGGGCTTTAAAGGAACAACCGACAAACACTTCGTCACTGCGTCACTTTCCTTATTCTTTCTTACCATTGTCTATCCATTTCAGGCCTGTTTGCGAAGAGCAGATGCCTTCTTCCTGTCCCTCCGCGCACGCCCTTGGCCACCACAGAACAAGCAAGCGATACTAGGTGACACTAGGTGACAAAAAAGTGACACTGGTCACACTCATATCTCATTTAGAGAAGGACCATATGACGAGGAGCATTTCTCACTCCATCAAATCTGAGGCATCTGCTTTCTTCCTCTGATGCAGTCGCTTCAGCTGCAGCCTTGTTCCAACAGCATGGCACAGCCATGCACAGCCCTAAGCTCCACTGCCCGATGCCCCTGCCTGCAAATTGTGAAGGCCCCTGGTGAATTCCCAGCAGGAAACGCGACCATCTCCCTTCAAGTCAAAAGCCTGTGCCAGTGCCACTGGCAACTCATTTGGCCGACAAATGTCATGAAGACTCTGTCTTCATGAGCAGTGAATTTTCTGAACACTATGGCCCTCGCAGGGACGTCTACCTCTCAAGCATTCCCTTGGCCAGATTTGGCCAGTCACTGGATCCAAACCCGACAACTTCGACACTTCCGGCCGTAAAGACTGCAGCTGCGGTTTCGGGAGTGGCTTCAAAGCCCAGGCTCGCCAAAGCACCCTGAAGTCAAATACGTCAACTCAGATCTTCAAAAGATGACAGATATTGATATGGCACAACACATTGCGTTGAAGCGGCCACGGCCTGGAATTCAGTCGCATCTAGGCCACCTCAGAAACTGCAGAATTTGATTGAAAACAGTGAGTCAGTGAGCCAGACTCAAATTCTACTAGAGCAATAAGGGTATAGTCAAGCACAGGGCCCCCCAAAAAAACACAAGCTCTTCTCCAAATCTCGTTGCATCTGGGGCGCCCAAATTCTTCTTGTCCCAACTTCTGAAGGCTTCTCTCAGATCCACCTGGCAGTGTCAGTATTGAAAAGACTTCAAAAACGATAGCTAAATATAGCTATATAATAGTCTAATAGCTATCACAACGTCTGCCTTAGGAGCACCTTACCCTCATACAGCATACATCTGTAAAGCAGCAAAACTACATGATCTACATGTGTTGCTCGCCTCCTTGTCAAATATAGCATCTGCAATGCGAGCGGCAGAACGCCGAACACCCATCTCCGAGGCATCTGTGAGCATATCCTGGTGCCAAGTTCAGGTTCAGAAATCATGATTCAAATATTGGATAATATTGGCATAAAGCAAAAGCCATCAGAAATGGTATGCATTCAGCTGCATCCAGTCCTTGGGCCGGCTTGCCATGCCTGTCATAAAATGACACAAGTCTTGTGAGACTTGAACGCAAGTCATTGTGCAACAGCAAGCTCTTGCCAACCTGAAGGTCCTGAAGGTCGTCGCTTGGAAGAGGACTCCGATCTTGTCCTGGGAAGAAATGATGGCCATGGCGGCAATTTCCCAGTCTTCAACATCCTTCAACTGTCTTACTGCGTGGTAGAAACGACCAGTTGCATTTAACAGTTGAAATCGCCACATTTACAGTGCCGCTCAGTAGCCGAAACCACCAGTTGCAGGTGCTGGCTGGCGATTCACAACTTGCCATAACTCGCATGCTGCTATCTGGCGGCCTAGCACTACACCTTGCTGAGCCCTGCACGGATCTGGCCGGGCGTCATCGCAAACAAATTGGATGAACTCTGCCTTGACTGATCTCAGCTGATCTGAGCTGATTTCAGTGCAAACAGGTTCTCAAACGCCATTGAATATCCACTGAACAGTGCCAGGAAAACCTGAAAAATCCTGAAAAAACATGAAGAAGCTCTTGGATCTGTTAGGCTCAGCCATGATGCGCAATCAAAGCGACCGCTGTGGGAGACCTGCACATCAGCAACCCAAGCTCTGAACAGCTACATGCCTATGTCTCCCAGTTGGCTTCCAGTGTCATCCCCATGAAACATGTTGTTCCATGTTGTTCCATGTTGTTGACACTGTGTTGTTCCATTTTCAAGCGCCTCGAAGGGGCTGAAGGCAGCCTTCAGCTGCTTCTCTGCCACTCGCATGCCCAAGCGCTCGGAGGCGCGTTTGAACTGCTGGAAACTCACCGTCCCGGCCTCGGCACAGCGCCACAAGCCACGGTGCAAGCGGTGCAAGCGGTGCGGGTCTCGGTGCTCTCCAGGGCCCCAGGGCAAGTCAGGGCAAGCTCATCTGAGTCCCAAACCGAATCTGGACCAACCGCATTGAAAACATCCTGCCACCCAAGATTTCAGAAACAGTTCCACAAAAGTAGTTAAAAGAGGACAAATGTATATCAATGTCCGATTTCTATCGATTTCTGGCATGGATGTCGAAAGAGCTCCAACTCTGAGCCTCCAAAACAATCTTGTTGGAACGAGCATCGCGCCGAGAGCGTTTAGCTGCATGAAGTTTCACCTGGAAGGCTGGGAGCTGACCAACTCCTCTACTTGGAATTCAATCTACATATAAATCTGCAGTCATCCTATGTCATCCTTTTGAAGGCAGTAACATGGTGAAGAACTCCTCTAAGCCTCAAGAAACACAAGTGTTCTTGGCAGGGTCACTTGCAATGAGCCCACTGAAGCACAAGACCCCAAGGACATTTATATAGAAACATGATGAAACTTGGCTATTTCTCCCCACAAACATTCTAAAAGACTTTCATAGACCCTGTCCCTATTCCTGGCACAGTTGTTAAACCTCTTGCTTAACTTTTAACAGCTGTAATTGGCTGACACAAAATGATCTTCATTTTACGGCTATCAGATGCTATCAGCTATGATAGCATATGCATGCATATGCTATGTCAATGTCATTCATTCACCAAGTCGCTGCAACTTCAGCTCGAAGCTTCTCATCGGCCTCACAAAATGAAGCGCCAAGGCGCCAAATCTGACGGTCCCGGGGTTGTCCCGAGATTCCGGCCGTGGACGGCACCGCCCCCATGTCTCAAACGTCAAAGCACACATTGATGTGCTCCGATGCTCCGGTTCAGTTCGCGATGAGCTGGCTCCATGTCTTGTACACATTGTGATCATTGTATTGTGCATGTCTATGCTACTTGTTTTTGACGGAGATCTGCAAATATCCTTGAAACTTGTTGTGCTGTCTTGCTTCAAGTTTTCAGGGACTTGATTGCCTTGTTCTCTAATCTGAGTTGCTACTGTTTGAACAGACTCATAAAGCTCGAGCGGCAAAAGCAGCAGAACAATAATAGGACATGATTAATTACTCATCCAAAGGCTAGACCTAGCTGCGCTTTCATTGAGAAAATGTTGAAACTAGCTGGCGCATGCTGGCGCGCTTTTCTGAATAATTCATTACTCTTCCGCAATGGGTTCAACGTACAGCTCCTTCTTGAAGGTGTCCAACACTGCGGCATCTTGTTCTGCATCGATCGCATCCTCCAGAGAGGTGCACTGTGATTTCCAGCCAATTCTCCACGAGCGAAGCGCCAGATACAGCACAAAGAAGGGCAGCGGCGCAAGCACCAGAAGCTGTAAGGATGAGCCGTACAGAGCCGCCAAGCCTAGCAGTGACAAGGTACTCAACAGTTGACCAATCAACACAGCGTTGAAGAGGTCATACCAAAATGCACCACCGCTGTCAAACTCTTCGTCATAGACATAGTTGAAGAGCCACCGGTACGACAAAGTGGCAAAGGCAAAGTAAACAACACACACTGGCAGAATTGCGGGAGCAATGAAGGAATAGGTCAAGCCAATGACAAAAACAAGAGCCACGTTAGCTGCTTCATAGCCATAAGCACTGTGTATCTGTTCTTGTGGTGCACACTTGGAACAAAAGAATTGCCAATGCAGTAGCAGGAAGGGAATGCTGGTGCAAGCTTTCGCTAAGACGAATGAAAGAAAGTAAACATTGGCTTTTGGCAAAGAATGTGCCAAAATGTCCAACACTTGCGATGGATGGTCAAGGATCTCGTTCAAGGAGTCCCATAAAGAACCAGACAGAACAGCCACATAAAGAGAAGCCAATTGATATGAAAAGCATCGATTCAAGACAATACGCTGAATCGCAGATTTCGTCTTGTGGCCTTCGTAGCCCTGTGCCATGGCCTGGAAAATGTACGGTAAACAGGCTTGAAGACCCATGAGAGCGACCACAGGTAGGTAGCTTGTGAGGAATGAGTAGAAGGTGGGCGATACCTCGTTCAATTTCACCACTGCTGGAATCCAGCGGGACAGAGTCCCGACATTCGCCCATGCTTGGATTATGGTCACGGGAACAGACCAGAACAGTAGGCAGAAAATCGTGGCAGCTAAACCGAGGTTGTGATGCAGTTGGGTCTGTCGCAAAGGTTTCTTCACGTTCTGCCACACCAGATCTCTCGGCTCCGGTGCTGCACAGACTTTCCAGCCTTCAGGGAACATCTCCATCAACAATCAACATGATTCAACATGCCTCCCAATCCCCCCATATCCCCCCGGGCCGCTGTCATTGAAAGTGTTTTCACTCGATGTTTCAATTTAAAGCAAGAACAATAAGAACAAGAATGGAAGAACACATAAGAACACTCTGGCCAACAATCTGCTGAAACAACTCCGGCTTGCTAAATGGTGCGCTCATGTCCGTTTGTGGTGGCGGTGGTGGTGGCGGTGGCGCCCATGCATCCGGTGACACCATGTTTTAGGATTCCTGAATCTGAATAAAAGTAAGTTTGTAAAATGAGAGTTTCCCTGCATACTTTTCACATACTTGGCTGGTTGCGCTCACTGCAAGGATGGTTATGTGGATGATTGTGGATGTTTTGTGTGTGTGCGTGTCCTTCAAACACTTACCACATTCAATCAAAAACATTCAAAAACCACAGAACTAGCATCTTTCGCTTGCTGCAAAGAGTTTTTTCATTTGGTGCCCCATGGTGTCCCATGGTGCCCCAACCTGAATCGTGGCTTAAGAGCACCTGCTGCGCCACCGCACAATGCTCCGCGGATTTTAGAGTTACAAATGCCGTGGCAGAGCCGGTGTTCACCTGGATCAGATGTGCAACCGCATGCAGATCCGGGTGCACCTCCGTCTCTTCATTCCCTGTGGCACAAACACAGCTGTAGACGGAGTCCATGCCATAAATCTTTTCGAAAAAGGCGATGATATCTCCTTGTCTTCTGTTGTCACCCCCCGAAGAAAATCATAAGTCAATGGGGATCATCACCATCATCCCAAATACAGCTGAAAATACCAACAATATCCAAACATCTCCTCAACAAAAATAACTAAACAGCACATATTTTAAAAAATATTATAACAAGATTAAAAACCACCAGCCAGTCTCGTTCTGACCATCGATGCAGGGGAACCTCCTGGACCATCAGGGTCCTGCAGCTCTGTGCCGCCACAGGGCCGCGGCTTCCGGAGGCGGCGCTGGCGAAGTGGCTGCGCCGGAGCTGGGAGAAGATGCGCCACTCCGAGAGGACCAGGTAGCCGAAGGCCGAAGTCAACATGTAGGCGGCCAAAATGACACACCAAAAACGGATGGAGCCACCTACTTTCAAATTGGATAAACATAAAACATTGAAACCACCTGCTTTTCCTGGCCCTGTGGCATACATAGGCAACAAGATCAAGGACACGGCCGTGCCAAGCAAGCTGAATTTCAAGCCAAGCTCGCAGAAACGCACCAAAATCTGGGCATCTGGTGCCAGGTCTGATCGCTCCCTTCGTCGCCGCCAAACTTGGACGGCCCAAGCTATGAAACCACCAGCGCAGAAACCGGGGAAACGGGAGAAAAGGATACCCACCCGCTCTGGTGTTGGCAATTTTGGAGCCAGTTGTTGTCGCGTGCCAGGCCGACGCAACAAGACCTTCAAGGCAAGTTCGCCGATATGTTCAAAATGCACGGCTGAGATCAGGAGTGCAGAACGCACATGCACAACTCACTAGGGTTGCTGTTAGCAAAAATGCATAAAAAATATTCCAACAAGATTGGAGAGGGCCCACTGTTCAAGTCTGACCCCATCGCCAACTTGCCAACTTTCTCAAGTCCAGCCTCAAACAATGCCAGGAACAACAACAGCAGCAGACCATTGAAGAGAATCGAGAATTGCACTGCATGGACGCTGTTGTCTCCAACGCCAGGGACCGCCATCTTTCCAGCCCTGGGATGAATGAGATGGGGAGAAGCTAGCGATATCAAATCTTTTGAAGTACACCAGTAAAGGCCACAAAAAATCCAAACATCTGATCCCTGGGGTGTTCTTTGCTTGCTGGAGCATCAGGTATTGCTTGAATCTGGCCATTAGCCTGTTTGAATGTTTCCACAGGTTTGAACCTGGGCTGGCTGCAGAGAATTGAGTTGTTACAAGTTGCAATCAGCAAAAGAAAACGAATAGGGAACTATCCAGTGCAGCGACATCTTCCAACCAGGAGCTATCAGTGCGCGGCTTTGACTGGAATCACCAAGCAAGAGTCGAGAGCTTGTCACTCATGCTGTTGGCACAATGGTTTGGAGAAGCTGCAAAAGAACCAGTGAAAACGAGGGAGATCCAAATGTAGCTTTCAGTCATTTATAATGCCTGCTGTGAGAGAGGGAGAGAGAAACAGCACATTTTAGAGATAATAATAATAATATATATATATTATATTATATATTATATATATATGTTATATATATATATATGTGTGTGTGTGTGCATTTTGGATTTATATAATAGATGATTCCAATTATAGATGTATACACATATACACATTGCTTGTGTGTGTGTGTATGTGTACAGTATAAATGTCGAGTCAAAGGAGTCAAATGATTCTGCTCTAGAGCTTCTCCAACCACAATGCCAGTGGCATCCGCATTCACTGGACAGCCTGGACTCTCTTCTGAGTCTCCGGCCAGCACTTCCCAATTTCTGGGCAGTTCTGTGCTGTTTTGTCTAACTGGAGGCCGAATCTCTAAATCTCATTCAAGGCCTCTTGTGGGAAGGTCCGCGCTGACACCTGAGCTCAGGCTCATGAATGGATGCATCGTTCAACATCTTAACGCATTGCCCAGCAAACGTGTCCATCGTGTCCGAAGGTGGTATACTGAGCACACGTATGACAGGCATATGACATGCCCATCATTATCCCATCATTCACCTTTCCGACCCCACCAACATCCCCACCACTTTCAGCAAAGACGCCGTTGGCCACAGCCTTAGCTGACATGGTCACATGGTCATCGTATGGTCATCGTATGGTCATCGTATGGTCATCGTATGGTCATCGTATGGTCATCGTATGGTCATCGTCCACATGCGTCCACGATGTTTGAATGGATTTCAATGGTCCACTGTGCACACTGTGCCATATCGACTGATATCGGACTGACATGGAGTGACCTTGGACACCTTGCTACACCCATCTTTCAAAAAGTCCCAGCATGTCCCAGCCAAGTGTCTTTTCGATTTTGCCATCTGTGCCAATGAGGACTGCCCACCTCTTCCCCGAAACCTGGGATGACTCAAGTGTTCACTGCAAAGCTCGCAGGATTCAGGGAATTGACACCTTATCGACCTTATGACACCTTCAACATCCTTCGACCTATGGCGAAGGATGAAGGGAAGCTGCCACCAAGCCACTTCCATAGCCTTTGAAAACGTCAAAACTTCACACAGAAGAGGAAATGTAAACCTCACTTCCGCTGCCGGTATACAAATCGCACGGCAAACAAATAGGTCCAAATTTGGCACCGGCATAAACGCACTTTGCTTCGCAATGGACACAAAACACTTCCATAGTTGGAACTGATGGAGCTCGCCCTGCAGAAGAACTAGTTGTGGCAATGTTGGAACATGTCTAGTCGTCCAAGAATTGGTGAGAACACAAAAGAAACGACAGTAAAGGATGGCAAAGGTGGGAAGTACATTTTCCAGCCCATCATCTTTAGAGGACAGCATGGTCATCTAAAACAGCTACCCTTTTTCAGCAGATCATATCTCGGTAGGAGGATCTGGAGGGTCATCTAGAATGGCTACCCTAGTGCGTTTTTGAAGAGGTAATCCGACAAAGCCGACCAGCTCAAGGGCGTAGATCAGAGCAGCAAGTAGGAGCAACCACCGGCCATGCATGCCACTGGACCATGCGAACCAGTTCTGAAAGAAGATCAAAACACTCAAACTGCCGTGCAAATACCTGCGTGACATTCCAGCTGATGTCTTGTCCAACATCAAGTGTTCCACGCCAAAGTGGCTGTGTCCTACTTTGCACATCAACATGTTTGTGCCTGTTGCAATGAGCACCGCTGGCAGCAGAACAGGCACCAAGGCTCCCCAAAGCAAAGCTACTTCAGCCCAAGTCACCAGCAAACTTGCTTGCTGGCCATCTTCCAAGGATCGACTGTTACAAATCAGACCGCGCCACATGTAGAGCTGTCCTCCTTCCAGATACGACATTTGCCACCTGGGGTATGGAAAGCATACAGTAACAAACCACCAGAAAAAGAAACACAAGGGGGAGTTGGGACTATGACCGCACGCCCCCCCCGGCAAGAAAAGACTCAAGAAACCCATCCGCCAAAATAAAAAATGACACAAGCTCAGCTCAGCCCCACCTAAGCAAGGTGATGATGGGCTGTAGGAAGGCACGGGTGACCATCTTCGACACCAACAAAGGTGCCATGGTATTGATCACGGCACGTGGACATGCACTGTCACTCCACCAAGACTCCTTTGCTGAGCACAGGTCCGCTTTGGGCTCAAGAATCGTGTTGTCACCCAGACTGATGTTGAAGAGCTTGTAGTCTTCTGTGCTTTCATCGCAAACCTGCTTGGGTGCTAACGCACATCCCCCAAAATAGTTGAATCACAGCCTGCTTTATTTGACAAGGATGGTATACAGATCATTACAGATCAAAAAGATTCAAGAATGGGCGTGAGCGCGCGCGCCAAAAAAATATTGCATAGGGTTTCTCCGCACCTCATATTTAGAGACCCGTCATGTGTCGTAATGGTGGCTGACACAAAGGGATATCAAAAAATGTTGGCTAATGTTGACTATACAAGGCAAGTTGAGGGTGGAGTGATCCAACCGCCACATGCACAAAGCCCAGCATAGCCCAGCAACTTTCCACAAATGGGTCCAGCCGTTCATGCAGTGAGTGGTCAAATAGAATGTGCTCAGCACCGCAGCCAACCACATTGTCCCCAAACGCGCAGCCATCAACAACATCGATCTGCGCATGCCAGTGGCATCTGAAAAAAATGCCACCAGTTTGGGTGTGATAAACATGTCCACCAGGACCATGACCAAAGCAGCTTGGTAATGAAAAAACTTCAGCCACCAAGCCGACAGCTTCAGGGTATTGTTGAAAGGGATGGTGCTCACCACTGCATATGCCACGGAGGGGAAAGATAATAGGGCCACAATGCACAACCAACAGCAACTGTAGATCACTTTCAGAACGAAACCCAAGCAGGATGTTGCTGTCTCTTCTCCCCCGGACGCAGTGGGAGTGGGAGCGTGTCGCAAAAAGAATGCGCCAACTACAACCCAACAAGTCCATAGCATTGCCACAGACCATTCCACCAATGCATAGCCATGGTGAGGGATCGAAAAGTTGCTCAGCGTAGAGGATGAAAAGCCGCTACTACAAGCATAGTATCTTGCATCTGCAAAGTAAAAGGCAAACAGAATTACGGCCAGAATTGACAGAGGAACACCCATCTGAAAGAGAAACACGTGTATTCGATGAGTCAGCTCTGAGCCTGCTTTCGAAGTGAAAATTCTGCGATGCCCGCTGCTTCCCAAAAGAAGCACACAGCACAATGCAAACATTGATGCCAACAACAGCGTCCTTTTCAAAATTTCATTGGACTTGTTGTCCGATCGGTAGAGAAAAGGTTGATGTTCATCAGTGTGTATCCACTGCGGCAATGCATAGCTTCCATTCCCCAGCATGTTGCCAATCAATGTGATCGAACGCATATCATCGGGCCATTTGGTCACTTCTTCCGGTAAGCTGCATGCAAGCCGATTGTCGTGCAACAACAGCACAGGACCCCGTGCACTGGCAGTACTACACATCTGGCATGCCTTTGGACAATGCGATGCAACCTCTGGCCTGGTGTGGCAGGTTCTCAATCGTTGCGCAGGGTCAAGCAACGAAAAATAAAAGCATGTGTTCCGGTCCGTGCGGAAGGATTCATCGTCGACGCAATCTTTGTGAATCCTCAACGGTGGAATTGGACCCACCAATTGGTTGGAGTGTGCAGAAAAGAAAAACAAGCTTGATGCATATGCAAGCTCTTGTGGAAGGCTACCATGCAGTCGGTTTTCATGGAGGGTGAGGACATTCAAATTCGGAAGCTCCACGAGTCTTCTGGGCACTTCTCCAGTGAATGAATTTCTGTGTAAGGTCAGGATCTCCAAAGAACTCAAGTCGCTCAAGCAAGGCGGTATTACGCTGAGGGCGTTGCGATGCAAGTAGAGTGTCTTCAAACAATCACCGAGTCCGAGTTTGCAAATCTCCGCTGAGTCACGGATTCGATTGGAATGTAGCAACGCAACTTTCAAATGTGTCAATCTACCACTGCTTTGGGCAAGTCTTTCCAAAAAGTTGTCGTGCAAAGACAGCAATTGCAGCCGAGGCATGTTGCCAAAGTCTGGCAAAGCTCTTAGACGGTTCTTGGCAGCTCTCAGTGTCAGCAAGTTTATGGTGCTTAGGTTAGGTATTGACGTTAAACGGTTAGAATCCAAATGCAAGGTATATAAATGCAGTTTTCCCATTGACTCAGGCAATGAACTCAAACGGTTGGAGTCCAAAGTCAGAACTTCCAAAGCTGCTAAATTTCCAATGGAATCAGGAAGTGCAGCCAGCTGGTTGTTGTGCACATATAGCTGCCGGATGCGCTGCAAACGTGAAATAGACTCGGGCAAAGATGTGAGTTTGTTGGATTGTAACCGAAGCCTGTGGAGTGATTGCAACTCTCCAATCGAATCAGGCAACGATGTGAGATGGTTGCTGCCTATTTCGAAAATCCCTAGCGATCGCAACCCCCGTAGTGATGGCAGCTTAGTCAACTGATTGAATCTGAGATTCAGAAACGACAGCCGCCGCAACTGTCCAACACACTCCGGCAGAACTGTTAGTTGATTTGATTGCAGGAGAAAGTCAATCAGTCCCTCCAGCTGTCCAATCGAATCAGGTAGTCTGGTGAGGTTGTTGTTCTTCAAGACCAGACTCGATAGAGATCGCAGATGTCCAATGGAATCGGGCAAAGAAACCAACTTGTTGGAGGCCAAGAAGAGGGACTTGAGTGATCGCAGTTGCTCCACTGATTCTGAAAGTGAAGTCAGCTGATTTCCGCTCAAATCCAGCATCTCTAATGATTCCAACTCCCAAATCGAAGGAGGTATTTCAGTCAACTGGTTGTGGCTCAAAATCAGCCACTCCAGAGATCTCAGCTGTCCAATGGACTCGGGGAGTGAAGTGATATTCAGCTGAGCGAAAAATAAAGTGCTGACAGTGCGGTTGTCGTGGCACCTCACTTGACGAAGCGCACATGGATCGTTTCCCTCGTCCCAAGGGAACTTGGCTACTTGAAAGATCTCGCACAAAGCTTCCACTTCCGCACTGGGCAAACTCGCACAAGCAAAGTGGAGAGACGATGAGCCAATGCAAACAAGCCGGCAAATCCGGCAAAGAAACATGGTTCGGGCATGCATCCTTGGGTGTTCTTCAAATTTTGTTTTTGGCATGATCAACGCCACTTAGGACGATTGACATCAAATGTGTCATATTGTTCTTTACTTATTTACTTTTTGATTTGTTTATTCATTTCCAAAGACATACCATGCGATTTATTTAATATCAACGCCATGGCTGCTATGACCACTATGACTCCTCAGACATACTAAACCGACTGTGCTGGAGGTGTCAAATGCAGAGTGCCTGAACAATGACTGACGACAACAGCTGCAGAACAGCTTCACAACCAGAGGAATTCAGGATGGAAACCGTGGCTTGCCAAGGTCTCAGCTTTTGACATCGTTGAAAATCCGGATGTTGATTTGAAAACACGGTTGTGGTTGCTCAACAAACACAAAGAATTGGGCCCTCAGAGTGCCAACAAAATCAGGCAATGTAAAAACAATGTTTCAAAATTACAATATGTTTCAATATTAAGAATGAAAGGACGTTTGGTTGGCAAACTTGCGAGACAAATGGTCATGATTAGTCTTCACCCCATCATGTCAACCCCATCATCATGTAATCACATCATCAAGCAGTGGATTGATTGTTTCTGCATGTTCGCAGGTTTTCCTATAGGGGATTGATTTTTCCCGAGAGCCTCTGAGCGCAGGGTTCTTCCAATAGTGGGGGTCTGTAAAACATCTTCTCATCCTCACATCTTCACATCTTCTCATCCTCACATCTTCTCATCTTCACATCTTATCATCTTCACATCTGCTCATCCTCACAATCCCCACATCTTCTCATCCTCACATCTTCACATCTTCACATCCTCACATCTTCACATCTTCTCATCTTCACATCTGCTCATCTTCACATCTTCTCAACCTCACATCTTCACATCTTCACATCCTCACATCTTCACATCTTCTCATCTTCACATCTTCTCTCTTGCCCTCTTGCTCTCTTGCCCTCTTGCTCTCTCCTTCTTTTCTATTTCTCTCTTGAAGGCGCGGGGCCGTGCCAACGAGACGGCACGAAACGCAACCCTTTCGTACGAAATGAGGTTCGATCGCCAAAAACTGACGTAAAATTGCGAGTTCGCTTGTCCCGCGCAACCCTGTCGCACGAAATGAGGTTCGATCGCCAAACACTGGAGTAAAATCGCGATTTGCAAGTCGTCCCGCGCAACCCTTTCGCACGAAATGAGGTTCGATCGCCAAAAACTGACGTAAAATTGCGATTTGCAACTCGTCCTGCGCCACCCTTTCGCACGAAATGAGGTTCGATCGCCAAAAACTAACGTAAAATTGCGAGTTCGCTTGTCCCGCGCAACCCTGTCGCACGAAATGAGGTCCGATTGTCTTGTCTGTGTGTAAAAGCGTCTGTGGTGTAAAACCGTCTGTTTAAAACTGTCTGTGTGTAAAAGCGTCTGTGTGTAAAACTGTCTGTGTGTAAAAGCGCCTGTGTGTAAAAGTGTCTGTGTGTAAAACTGTCTGTGTGTAAAAGCGTCTGTGTGTAAAAGTGTCTGTGTGTAAAAGTGTCTGTGTGTAAAAGCGCCTGTGTGTAAAAGCGTCTGTGTGTAAAAGTGTCTGTGTGTAAAAACGTCTGTGTGTAAAAGCCTCTGTGTGTAAAAGCCTCAGTGTGTAAAAGCCTCAGTGTGTAAAAGCCTGTGTGTAAAAGTGTCTGTGTGTAAAACTGTCTGTGTAAAACTGTCTGTCT